AGAATGCTGTGCTCTTAGCTTATCTCTGACATGAAAAATAAGTTGCAGCTTACATTTAATGTTAATTTTTGTTATGAAATGAGTCATGACGAGACAGCTGGAAATATTGTTATTGCATAACCTTAAGTCAAAAGAAACCCTACAAAGAATTAATCATCTGAATAATGAAACATGAGGACTGCTGCACAGTAAATGTGTTGAGTGATTTCAACAGACAAACAACGCAAACAGGCTCAGGTTAAAGGTTTCGCTTGAAGTTATTCAGAAGCTGTTTGACTGTCAGTCACACTGAGGAGCTTGTTGTTTTAAAGAAACTGTTAAAATAGCCCCTATCAGCAGCCTTTGTTGTTTTAACAGTGATGGTATCTTACCATGACATGCTCTTGACATCCGTGAGCCACTGAGGATTTTGTGATAACAACCAACGAGGGGTTTGAGTTTGTCTGCTTTATCTCTGCCATTTTTGTTCAGGAATTTCGCTCCTAGATTCAGAGAGTTGATCCAAATATGCCTTAAACAGATATCACCAACTTGGTTCTGGTGGTGTTTTTTCTCTGCTCCTGTAATGATCCTGTGACTTTGAACAGCTTTTATGCAAGCCACACCAAAACACAACCAAGCCAGGGAAAACTGACTTCTAACGTAACTAAAATTGTTCAATATGGAATGACAGTAGAGTTAATGATCAAACAAGAATATAAAATGTGAATCTTTGGCATGTCCAGCTGTTTTTATCAGATTTTATTAAATCTGTTGGGGACATTTGTTTGACTTCTCTTCCTCTCTGTTGTTGTTATGATCATCTATTGTGTAATGAAGCTCACAGGGGAATTGAACCGTCCAATAGTCAAACCAGGATGTTGAACAAAAGCTCACAGAGTCTTTGATGCTCTGTAGCTGAATGGATCAGCTCATCCCAAACACGCCATTCATCTCTGTGTGGTTCAGTTGGTTCAATTGTTTAATTCAGGCTAAAATACCTCCACAGCTCTTCAATCAAAGGTTAGTATTTTAGCAAATAGAGGATGCATGTGATTCAGTTGTTTCATGCAAAGAACAACATGCTGGATAGGTCACTGCCTCACCTGCTGCTCATACTGGGTGCCCAGGAAGAAGTGAATGTATATTAAGTGAACACCAAAACAACAGAAGCACCAAGACCACAATAATTTGGTGTTGCTCTTTTTTTAATGTGGCGAATAAAAAGGCAAAGCAGGGGGATAGATTTCTGTTTTCTATCCTGAACATTATTAGATTCATATGCTTCTTCCACGTAAGGGTTTCTTTGTAATAACACAGTCCGAGCAAGCAGTAGTCATGTGATGTTAACCAGGGGGTTCAGTTCATTTGAGATCCACTTATTGCATTAGTCGGACTAAAACTGGACTTTTGAAGTACATTAAAACATGTTGGACCGACTAAAACTGCACTGAATCAAACTTCTCAGAGTCTTACCAAAAGTAATTGTTTTGTGATGTAGGATAAAAACATAGTGGGTCAATGACCCAGTAGCAACAAGTTTAAAGGAGGCCATTTATCTAGCAGACATAAACACGGTTCTGTCATTAAGTCAGTTCTTCCCCAGTGCTTGTAAACTGGGGCAAAGACAGTAGTCCAGTTAAACTGCATGTAAGCTGTTCATGTAAACGTACCGGGTGTCTCAAAAGGGAGTGAAGCCCCTCTGAGGAGGTTTTTCTTGCTTTTGATTCAAACTGAAATTAGGAGTGACGCCTTTCATGACCTTCAGAAACAAACAAGACAAGCGGCGGATCAGACAAGCGTTTTTACAGCACCAGAAGAAGCAAATATTTACTGCGAAAGATAACAAACTGAAACTTTTTATTAGTAGATTTTTTTAAAGTTGTCAGAGGTACTGCTTTGACCAAAGGGGGCACCAAAATTAATAAAACCTTTTAGTTAAAATAAGACATGTTAACTTTATTTAATTAATGCTGTCTTTTATTCGTGTCGCCTAATGAATCAAAATTGATTTCTACATTTCTGAAAAATGTGAAAAAGAAATCACTCATTCACCGCCCTGCTGGCGCTGGTACAAGCCCCATCATTTTAGTTCTATTCATGCCTCCTCACCTCTCCAACAGCTTTCATTTTGACCACCAAAGACGAAAAGTTCTTCATTGTTGTTTTTCCACTTATAAATAAAAAGCGTTAAATCTTTTTCACTCACACTACACATGTTGGATTTTAAAAGTCTAGATGGATGTCACCTGTGTGGGGAAAGTTTTGGGGAGACAAACGGCGCGTTATGTTGGATTCCCTCCATACCAGGGGTAGTTATAGGGATATTCATGCTTTTTCCCCCATGCATTAAAAAAGAGCTGTAAATCCATTTTGTGTTACTGGATCACTGGGAGAGTACCTGGAATATCATAATGTAGGATAAGCACTTCAAGAGATAATACTAACTTCCTAAATATGTACTCAGAACAAAGCAGAGTGCTGTAATTTAGAAACAAAACAACTTGAATGCAAGTGTAAAGACTGTAATCTCCATCTGTGCCTGATAATGACCTGATCCCTACACAACAGATGGAGGCGTGTGACTGTTTGTAACAGTACAGGCTGTAGTGCAGCAAGAAGAGGAGTAAATAAAAACTGATCTGAGTCAAAATGAATCTGCTGTTCTGTCACTGACCGCTGACCTTCTGTAACTTCGACACATGTAGTTTTTGTAATGAATGAAGCAGAGGGAAAAGGTCCAAACCAGGGAGAGCTCTTAGGTGAATTAGGTGTGCAGCTTACATGTAACATGCAACCCAAGAGTCTCGCGGGAGGAGGGGGGAGGAGAAGGGGAGAAAAGGGTTGTTATTGCACAATACAGAAGGTGAGAGAGAGAAAGAAACAAAACTGTGGTAAGAAAAGAGTGTGCTTGCTTCCAATACTGCATCTGTAAAAGACTGAAGTGGATGACTGTCTGGTTCTTCTTCTATTGTTCTCTGGCCTGTCGTAACACAAGAGACACTCATCTCCGCCTGATAAGGCCTCTGTTCAGCAGTTGGAGTGGAAAACAGGAAGCTTCTTTGTATCATGGAGCATTCTGTTTGTGTCAGAAAATTAATACTTTCTGTTTAAAGAATCTCCTTCATGAAGTCGATTTACTGTAACACAGTAAATATGATTGAAAGGAAAAAAAGAATGACAGTGATTTTACACCTTAAAGTGAAATGACAGCCTGTATGTGCAGAGGCAGAGCGAGGAAGTCCAACAGCTCTTCCTTCAAAATAAAAGATTAGTGAGTAGCTCTGTAAACAATGTGTTATGTTATTGTAAAGAAACATACATTTATAGACAGACTGTTCAAGAATGTGACTATTTACTATTTACTATTACTATAGTCTTTGTAATCTTTGAAAGCCTCAAATTATATAAAGTCAAGATTTATTAAACAAAGTAGAGCTTAACTGTTAGTGAGTGAAAAAATGTTTTATCATAATATCATATTTAAATTTTATTGATCATATCCAGTGCTTTATATAGGCCTGTTTGCTTCATAAAATGTTGCATTTCATTTGAACTTTGTAACATGACTTTTTGTTTTATGAAATATTTTGTGTTTCATGTAATATTCCATGTAGAGTTTGGATAAAGATTTTTTGTCTTGAAATATTTCAAAATGTCATAGTTTTTTGTTGAATTTTGTGATGTATTTCTTTGTTTTTTATTTCTTTATACTGTATGTTGATATAAATGAAACTTTTTTAAGTATCCAGTGTTAAAAGGAATTTTTGTTAGGTAAAATATTTTGGGTTTCCTCTGAACAAAGTTTTTTCTTTTTGACACATTTTAGCATTTCTGGTGAAATTTTTGGTGTTTTGTAAAATATTTTTGTGTGTTTGTAGTAACATCTTTGATATATGTGAGATGTTTCTATGTGCCCTGAAATGTGGCTTTTTGTTAAATGTTTTTGGTGAATTGGTTAAAAGATATTAGTAATTAGTGTTTTCAGAAATGGATTTTGCATTTTTTTTCCCTTTTCAATATTTTGCATTCTACAAAATGTTTTGGGGTTTAATTGACTTTTTTTGTCTAATAAATATTTTTTTTAAATTGTGAAAAGTTTTTGTGTTTCATAAAATATATTGGAGTTATTTTAGAGCTCTGATTTTTGGTTGCATCCTGACTTTTTTTGTGTTCATCTTTTCTAGTTTTTGAGATGGTTTTGTTGTGTTGCATGAAATATTTGCACTTTATGGTAGTTTGCGATCTATATAAAACTTTTTACTTTATGAAACATTTTTGTGTTTTTCATGAAATACTTTTTTGAATGACATCATTTTTTGTTGTTTAGTTGACTGCTTTTATGATGCATCAGTTTTTTTGCACTTTTTATTTTTTTATATTTCTTGTTTCATGAAATACTTTTGTGATCCATGTTTGAGTCTTTACTGACACAATGCAGTGAAAAGTTTTTTCTGATCATGAATTTTTTTTGCAGCTAACCGTCAGGGCCACTATAGATCTGTGTGATTCTAGCACTAAGACTAAGATACTTTCTTTAGTGGCCTACAAACATTATCCTATATCTGCTTTTGTTAATCTGTTCCAGATCACCTCAGGGTTGTGTGGTAACACAGAAAAATAGAAAATTCTTTATTTTATTTTATTTAATTCTCTATGATATAGAGTTTTATATTTTGTACCCCCTAACCCTTATTTTAGGAACCATTTGTTATTAAAACAATGTCCTGACAACCAGAGGGACGTGTTGAAAAATGACATCAAATGAACCGTCGTTATCATACATGGAAGATCTCCTCTGCTCCTTCAGATAAAGAATCACAGCCCCACAGGTGGTTGATTTCTTAATCGACATATTTCATTTAGAAATTTTTAACCTGACGTGGTGTCTGTTGTGATCTGGTTGGCTTGACAACAGAGAGAGACAAAGTGGGAGGGGGAGGAGTGGGAAGGTAGGCAGAGGGAGGGGGAGGGGCCTGTCTGCGTTGGAGACCAATGACAGCGCAGGTACCAACAGGTGCGCAGAAAGCACACACCTCACACACACGCACACACACACACAGACACACACTCATACTAGTGTAGGAGGAAGAGGTGGCTGCGGAGCTGAAAGGCTCCTCTGGGACTCAGATCCAGTCTGACATGACGAGGAATTAGAGAAGAGAGGACCATTACAGAGGCTCAGAGGAAACCCTCAGACCACAGCAGATGGATTATAATCTGAACCACGGACAAACTGTGAAGCATTTCTCTGCAACAAGGACTTTTTAATGAGTGTGAGAGCCTCAGCGGTGAGTTAGTGAGACTTTACAGCCTATAGATCTCTGTTTCTGTGTCGATCACAGAAGTCTTCCTGTGTGTGTGTTGTTCTTACGTGGATCGAAGGTAGATTATTTATCTCCTGTAGGGACAATAATCCTCAGTGTTTGATCCGTTTTTATTGTTTTTTTGCAATGATGTTTCTTCAGGACTCTAGCAGAAGGAAACAGTTTGCTCTGACACGATAATTGACATCTTGTCGGTTAAATACTTCCTGACTTTTACAAACCGGGTATTGAACACAGTAACCCGGGAGGGGGGACAGCTGACTGTACAGGCACCATGATCAGCTCGGAGGGCCTGAGGCCGGCCACGACCGGCAGAAAGCCCCTGGGTAAGCTCGCCACCCGGCTGGAGGAGGTAAAGAACCCGTGGCGACAGGGCTCCACGCTGGAGCTGAGCCACAACGAGGCGGCCCGCCTGGCCACGGACGCGCTGCTGGAGCACGGAGAGAAGGAGTACCGCAGGGTGCTGGCAGAGGAGCGGGAGCTCAACTTTCTGTCCCCGCTGGAGATCCGGTACATCACAAAGCATGCGGCCAAAGCCTTCGGCTCCGAGAGCAACGGAGTCGGTCCCAATGACCGGGACTTCGGAGACGGGGATGCCGTATCCGAGCTCACCTCCGGGACTTACTTCCCCATGATGTCCGACGAGGAGCCACCGATGCTGGAGCTCGGCTGGCCGGAATCCCCGGCGAGATACGGACCATCAGAGACGCAGATCTACTTCCAGAGGGACAAGTCCCACAACGTGAAAGACCTGATCAGGTCCCTGATCAACAAAGCCAAAAAGGTAAGAGAGCTTCAACAGGTCTATTATGTGAACGAAGTGCGTTTAAAAAGTATAAAACTAAAGCAGAGGGATTATTTTCATGATCCACGTTCAGTCAGGAGGTTCTTGGTCATTAAAACAAGTGGTATCATCTTACATTTGAGGACTTCAGTGTGACCCCCAATGAGTATTTGATCATCATATGTAGGCTATTCATTTTCTATTGAATGTTTTGGCATGCTTCATATTGGCAGTGCAAATGAAACTTACTCTAAGCACATACACTGCTCTTTTGTTCCTCTGTACATGATGTCAAAACTTTTTCCAGTGCCCAGGGTTTATTTAAGGCAGCTTGAACTTTATGTTAAAAAAAAAAAAAAATACACACTGGGATGATTGTTTGTATTCCAAATGCAATGACTGGAATAAGGGCTGAAGAATAAAATATCCCACTCAGGTTAAAGTACAGGTACTTTCTGTCTGTTATCTACTCAGGTAAAAGCAAAAAATACTCATATATTAAAAAAAGGTTCCTGGTGTACTGAGTCCTTACTTTTATGCCATGGTGGAGGGGGAAGTAAGATATGTTCCACCAAATTACAAGAAGATTGGAAGTAGTTTGGACCCTGCACCTATTCAGATTGAAGTAACTGAATATTTTTGCAATATTTTTGTCAGTGTTGCACTTTGTTGACAGTTCCTGCATGCTCAACTCAAAATAATGAGGAAAGAAAGACTTCATTGACTGTAGAAAGTGAAAATAGTTGCAAATGTGGCATAGCTTTTTGAAGCTATTTTGAGTTCTTACCTTCTGGCTTGTAATACCTTGAAATGTGATTTGTAGTTTGACTTGTCAGGTCAGTGGAGTTCAAATTAACGATTATGATGAAACATTTTGACTATAGTTATTTTAGAAGAGTTGAGTCCGTCCTGTGTGTGAAGTGATTTCTGCTTGGTTTGACTTTGTTGCATCGTCGGATTGTAACTCTGCAGAGTGTTCATAATGTACAGCTTGTTTATGTACTGTAGGGGGAAGGCGCTCTGTACTCATGTTAAATATTAGTTTAAAACACGGACATGAAAATATGAGATATTTTTAGTCATTTACTCTTCCTCATAACCAGTCATGATCCAGTATTTAAAGTGTTAGCCTCCAGCGCACAAACACTCAACTTAAACATTTGTCATTCATGCAGCACTTTTCTGCGTAAATGTTTAACAGAATATCAGCAGTCTAATATTTACAGAGAAGATATGCAATACAAGCACGCAAGCAATTCAAATAATTTGAATACAATAAAACCGTCAATAACTAAAAATAGTTCATTTTAATGCCTGAAACCTGGGGGTAGATGTTTGCCAAGCAGTTGGAGAAACAGCCTTTTTTCCCATTTTTCATATAAGATATTCACAATAAAAGTCAGAATGATGAGATGAGATGAGGGCACAGCTTAAGCACAGAGTACAAGATAAGCAATGATGCTTTTGTCCACAGGGGCGCCAAAATTGACACAATCTAACAGACAAAGAAAAACCCCTGAAGTCTCTCACAGGAACTTAAAGCTGAGTAAAAACAAACAAACAGACAAACAAACAAAAAAACAGTGGAAGTGATGAACATGGATGAACAAAGGGTCACAGAGTTTGCTTATAATCAGCATCATTGGTGTGCAGAGTGTAGTTAAGACTTGCAAAGCTAGCACCAACAGCCTGCAGGTTCACATTCACAAGCCTGTGCAGATGACACATTTCTCCAGTTCATTTAACCAGACAAAGCCGGTAGACATGCTGTGTCATCACAATTTTTGATCAAAAACTGACCAACATAAAAAAGTTCCTACAGCAGTGAAATGTCCGTAACGTCAAGTCTGCGTACTGTCCTTCCAAGAGAATAGACAGATTCCCCGGCCGGCATACAGCTATGCTCACAACTGTAACTCCAGCATGACAACAAACACACGTCTGGGCAAAATAGAGGATCGGTTTGAGGTCACAGGGTAACTATTTGTGCAGCTCACTCAGGTCCATTTTGTTTGTGTCCCACTTCCAGAACCATGGCAGAGTACCAAAGGCAGATATTTACTCAGCACACACACACAGAAAACACACAGCTGAACGTGAGGATGTGTTTACAGATAACATGTGACAGAAACACAAAACTCGAGCTGCCTTTAAATCTGGGCCTTCGTAGTTTAATATTTTGGGGTGTAAAAGATAATAAGTTCAAGAACTTTGGTGAATTTTATAGGTAACTCTATTCTGATGCAGAAAGGTAAATAACAGGAAAATTATATTGAGGTTATAACGTTATAATGGAGTCTGTGAGGAAAGTGAGTTCATGGCTGGTGTTTTCTAAAGAAGTATCTTCCCACTCGACAAGGAGGTCCACATCTGAAGCAATATTTTTATTATCCTGACTCTTAACAACCAGAGACTGTTTCAGAAGACCTGTTTTTGATGGAGAGCAGCCGCAACCATGACAGACAGTTTTGTGGCTGCAGGCTGAAATGATGTGTTAATGGATTGAGCAATTAAGACACTTTTTTGCCACTTAGTCACCAGCCAAATGCATGTAAAAACAGAGCCCAGGCTGACACGTGTCGGGGGGAGGGATCATAAAGAACCTGTAAGTTAGAGGGAGCAAAAACATCATCATGAGTGTGTTCTGAAAAACAACATGACAGAGACACTGCTCACCCTCAGACGGGTGTTTGTTTTTTTCCCTCCTCTCTACCTGAGTGCATTAACTTCTTCCCAGGTGGTTTCCGCTTGGTTTGCTTACAAACAAATGCAGCAGGCCAGAATCTGCCCGCCGCCCAGCCTACTGTCATGTTTGATCAGCTCTTATCTGGTCTGAGCGCCCCGGCTGACGGCATGCGGCCTGCTCTGTCACTCATTGAACAAATTGACCTCAGCTTAGTGATCAGACAGAGTTTGACCCTCTAATCAGCGACTTTTTGATTAGAGGTTTCTAGGATTGACCGAAAATGAGACAAAGACCTTCAGTTCTTATCAGCACGGACTGAAACGGACACAAACGCTTCCACACTGTCTCAGATGTGGTGTTACTAGTTTGTGTTTATTATGAGTGTCTTTCAGGTTTTGTGACTCTGTGAGTCTTTTTGGTATCTGAGTCCTCCCAAACATTTTGTGTCTCTTTATGGTCCCTTTTGTGCACCAGGAAACGGAACAAAACAAAGTCAAACTTGGCAGGGTTTTAGCTCTAGTGAATGGTTCCTCATATCTACGTCATCGTAAAGCGCAGCTCAGTCAGTCAGTAATTTGATCTAAAACATGGAGATAAAGCCGTATACAGGTTGTGTCTGCTTGAACTGGCATATAATCACTAGACTGAGGCAACATGTAACCATCACAGACATGTGGAAGTTCACCTGCAGGCTGCTGGTGTTAGCTCTGCTAAGGTTAGCCAGCCTCTACAAACCAATCTGACATTTATTAAAGGTCATTTGTTGCTGCTTGTTCTCAAGTGGCAACTTATTTTGTTTTCAGTGGTTTGTTTTCCAGTTGTGTTGTTACTTGTGTTTGTTTTTTTATTAGTTTCAGTTTGTGGTCTCATTTTGCAACTTACTGCATTCTCTGCAGATTGTGTCACTTGTTTTTTTCACCTTTGTGGTTATTGTTGCTGTGATGTTTGTGTGGCGGTGGTTTCTGGTAAATTGGGGCTTCTTTATTGTCGTTTACTCTGTCATCATATGACAACCTCCTTTTCTTGCTGTCAATATTATTATTTATTTATTTATTTTTTAAACTCCTACCACATCACATTACTGAGCACCTTAATTTGTTTGTTGATTTATCATCCCATCTGTATATTTCACATTTCATATTTATTACTCATTTCATATTTATTAGTCATTTCAATAGCTCACGTTCTTCATATCTCACTTTTTTCTCTTAAGATGTTTAGTATATTTAGTCTGTATTTATTGTAAATACTTAGTATTTTTAGTCTGTATTGTACTTACTTCTTATATTTATTTTATCTTGTATTTTTTTGCTGCTGTAACATGTGAATTTCCATGTTTGGTATCTATCTATCTATCTGTAAAGTAAAAATACCTCTCTTTTGCTATTTAGCATCTTATTTTTGTGTGTATCTAGTATCTGTGTAAGTCTGTAGTCATTTGAGTGACTGTCCCACACTAACGATGCAGATCACAACCAGAACAGATGTTAAGTTTATAATCCAAGAGCTTTTTAGAGGAGGAAAGATACATTTATTAACAATAATCAGCTCTGTCATCTATAAAATATGAATAAATGTATGAGTGTGACTTTATAAATCAGAGTATTTTAAAGAGAGTTGGCAGATTGTCTCATGATCACTTCACAAACCACATCACAGCTAAATAAGAGCTGCTTTTATTGGCAGACAGTCCAGCACACGTTGCATGAGTCACTCTCACAGACACTTCCTTGTTCTGTATGTGTAAATAGACTCGTTAGAAATGCGCAACTCTCAAGTCTGCTACTGATGATATAAAACAGTGAGAGAATTCAAACCCCTGCATGAAATACCCTCTAAAACAGAAACGCACAGAATCCTAGAAGCGGGTTTCTCGATGCACGACAAAAAAAAAAACGTTGACCTCTTTCTCACGTGTTTGTGCTGAGTCAGCGGGTTTCAGATCAAATGACGCTCCGGTTACAGCGATACAGATGATAAAGAGCTGCAGTTAGAGCTGCGCGTTTGTTACTTTCTCTCAGCATGAGATCACACCGTACTGTTCAGCTTTACACTTTGTGTTTGAACTTTACGATGAAGTTGTGATTCCAGTGCAGTGAAGGAGTCCCAACGGTCTTTATCGTGGAAAAATGACATCAACAAAAATGACTGTTAGTCTGCAAACAGTGTTTGAGAACTGACATGCAGCCACTCAGTATTTCCTCAAACCAGTTTTCTTTTTTTAACGGTCATGAGAAAAAATCAATACAAAAGTGTTTACTGTGAGGCTTTCAGTCATTTTCATCCTGTGTTTCATTTGCAGGCATCTCTCCGTACGCGCCTGTGGGCAGGAACATGTCAGTACATGTGTGTGTTTGCACGGAGTGGTGTAAAGTCAAACACAGGCCTCGTGTGTGTGTGTGTGAATATTCATCTTACATAACGTGTTCCATACAGAGGACACTTTGTTATCTTTCTTTATAAGTTTCACATTTGATGAGAAAGTTTGAGTTCATGTGTCAAGAAAACCCGAAAGTGACCAGAGAGTAAAACAAAACAGCAGGAAAGCTAAACAGACGGGAATGGCTGATACCGTCCTGTAAAATTACAGAATAAAACATCACAAAACAACCACTTGGCCTATCCTTGATCCATGTCGACCAGGTTCATCTAAGTGAAACAGGATTTAATATGAACACAATTAAAACTGCCCCACCTCATAACAGCACACCTTCAGAGGTCTTTGTGGAGTTCATGTCTCATCAGGTCTGGGCTGTTATGGCCTGATGAGAAGGGAGGCCCACAATGTCATGCCTCATGAGTGTTTTTCTAAAGCACACACTTGGAGGTGACATTTGACATTTAGGCTTTTGCTGTGTCAAACATCCGCTACCGTTACGCCACATATAAGTTTTGAGATAATCACTTTGTATCCTCAAAATCAAGATCAGGACATCTGTGCAGGAGACCGAGATGGGGAGGCCAGAATATCTGGTTCAGTTCTTTGTTTGGACCCAATAAAGGGTGTGATATAAGGGTTTGCTGGGATATCTTTGCTTCATCACTTTGTCTATTTCGTAAGTGACTGAATGTTCAGTCAAGTTTTCCAGCATGGTGACGGCTAGGGCTGCATGATTACGGCAAAAATCATAATCTCAGCGGTTTTGATTGGTATTGACATCACTGTTATCAAAAATCATTATCCATGATTTGACATCTGCAGATGTCCCCTAGCCCTCTTGACTGGTATACTTAAAAACAAATGAATGAAGTCAGTGGGTTTACATATTTCATCCATGTCTGATACAGTTTGTGGTCGTTTGATGGTTAAAAAAGAAATGGTTCCCCTGTGGAAACAGTCCTATCTTTGGCCAGGACTCGGGAACAAATCAAACAGCAGAGCCAAAACGGACAGACTCCTCTTTATGTCCTCTGTTTGAGCTGTTGGTGCCGCTGATTTGAGAATTACTGTTGTATCACACGTTGATACTTGAGCTTATCGCTGAATACCTCATTCTGAACTTCATCAGTTTTACCTCAGTTTACTTGTCAGGTTTTTTAATTTAGATTTGTGCTTTTCATATCAACACAAACTGTCTCACAAGAAAAATACAAAGACAGATAGAGCTCCAGTTTGGGTCTGACAAAAATCAACTACTTGTAGTGTGTTGCGTGCACTCATCTACCTGAGTATCAGGATGGGCTCAGGGGTTTTAAAGTTTTAGCCAATTAATAAATCCGGATTGATCCTTCCGCTTCTTAACAAAGGAAGAAAAGAAACTAGATCTTTGTCTTTGGCCTGCACCTATCTTTGATCCAGATTAACTGTTTGGGTGAGAAATCTAGTCTGAAACCCTCCTGAACCTTCTGCACACTCATCTGAGCCACCCTGATGATTCAGTCCAAGCTCTCAGAGAGGGGTAAAGACGAAAGAACAGCTGACCATGGAGCCGGGAACTTAGCCGGGACTGATCTTTTGCCCTACTTTCATGTATTTATTTTGTGTTGTCACCGCAGAGCATCCCCACAACATGGCGTTGCTCCACTTAAATCAATATGTGGTTGAGATACTGGAGCTACAATGTTTTTATATTTGAATGAACTGCTTGACTTAAGTTAGAGCTTGTATTGCAGATGAAATAACAAGACTGGTGTTGACAGTTTATGAAGTTTCATTTCTGAACTGTTTGACCCGAATGTTTAAGATAAGAAGAGAGGAGATTCACTGAGCAATAAAGCCTCATTTTATTTCGTGAATATCAGTTAATCAAATAAATTTGATTGTATCACAGTGAGACCATTAACTGTCGTACAAGCATCAATCAGAAGCTGAAAAACATGAACCCAAAGTTTGCATACAACAGCCAAGTAAATTAATTCTTGATTTTCATCTGCAAAAATATCAACATTCAGGATTGATGGCACTGTGGTTATTTATTTGCAGCCTGTTTTCACTGAAGCAGACATATTTAATGCAGTGAGCTACAACAGTTTAGTTTCATCATGCACAGGCTTCTTTGACATTTGAGCATTTTCAATAAACACACAGCCAAAGTCTTTATTTATCAGACTAAATAAGCACAAATATGGAGATCTGGATTTAATGGCCATGCTTTAACACCACATTGATTCATTCAGATAGAGATAAAGCCAGCCGTCTGCTCCGCTCAGATTAACTGTTGCAAACTGTGTGTTAAAAAAAAAAGTATTTGTATTTATTTTGGACTCAGAGGTGTACAGGTGCTGCATCTCTACCTGTCTTGCTCTAGTTCTAAGCTTGACTGGATGCACATCCCCACTCTCTGCAGTGTGATCTGTTGGATATGGACCACAAACTGCAGCTGGTTGCTTCTCTTATCTTGAGTCTAGTACACGTCACAGTCACCCTTTTACACACTTTAAGTACCAACTGTCCATTAGTCCTCACCTAATCTTATTCATTACTCGTAACGTGCTCAATGGCGATGCCTTCAAGAGCCAATCCACCAATTAGAAGATGACCTGCTCGACCACTGAACTACAGCTGTCTCCAGTAAAGCAGTCAACGCTCCCTCTGGTATGACATAGGTGAATCGCAGGGAGATATCTGGCTGCTTCAGTTTGCATGTCGAGACGTCTTCATGCAAGCTATTGTGCACAGAAACTGCCTCTCTATGAATATATAAGAGTGAATTTTTGTGAATGAGTATGTTTGGCTGATTAAAGGCGTCTCCCAACAGTGTCAAATGTGTGTGTGTTAAAGGCTCACTATGAGAGTGGGTTAAAGATCCTTAATAGTATCCTACAGCTAGTGATGCACGCTTCCTTTCTACTCTTCACCTGCGTCTTGATGCGTAGTAACATGCCCCTCATTAAAAAGTGTTTTTAAAGTCCTATAGTCTGAGTCAGACTAACATCGATCACAGAGTTGTGTGTTATCATTTAAAAAGCAGCTTTAGGTAAGGCATGTAACTCTTGCAGTGTAAGGAGGAAACCCCAAACTCCTGAAATCTTTACTGCTGTTTGTTGTGAACTGGAGGCCAACACCCGTATGGAGGACAAAGAAGGGGAGAGCTCCTGGTAATTTTGCCATAAAACCTTAAATACCATAAACCCTCAAATAAAGAGCAGCAACCGACCTGCAGCTTGACCCCAATAATGACGGGGATCATGACCTTTGCAAGTGAATTAATTTAATTTAATCATTGGCTGTCTGGTTTCTTATTTCTAATGTGAAATAAAGAAGGTAACTTTTTGGTGAGTTCACAATGATCACGCATTGTCCTGTATAATTTCAGCAATGCCAGTTTTGTAGTGAACGTCATCACTCTTTGCAGTTTGCTCCATTTATTTTCATTTTATTCTGACTTATGAATTACTGATAACTGTGTGATCAGGACTTAGTGATCTTAGTCCTGATTATTATAAATATAGTATAATCAGTATTACATTAACAGACTTCTGTATGGATTTATTATTTCTGGGTCATGCAGAGGCGAAATCACCAGAAGTCAGTAATACTAAATCACAGTCAGCAAAAATATCACTGTGACAGTTCTTGCCTTTTTTTGCAGAGAGAGCTGGAGGTATGATTTGCTCCAGTTAAATACATTAAGATCATTTTAATGTATTCAAGAATCAAGATCAGACAGAGATGCTATTTCCTCAGTGAAGTTTGTGGAGCATTTAACCCTTTGTGCTTTATGAATCACACCATGCCTTTTTGGCTGGAGTTAGTGAATCAGACCCTCACTTTGTGGCAATGAATCCTTAAAAATCCGGGGAAGTAAGAGAATGTACATGCTCAGAGTACAGGTAATTACAACAAAATAAAACATAAAAAAATCACTGCCCTGTGAGAATGGATCCAGAGACTTAAGGCTGTAACCGTATGAAATATTTGACCTCAACACTAAAACTCCAGGTGGACTTTATTTTGAAAGATGGGCACTGTTTTCGTTTATCGCTCAAAGTGAGTTGTATATACGTAACTAACTTGTTCAAAACATGAATTTTGATTTCCTCAAGAGTCTGAACGCCATTTATCTGTCTATATTCTCGTGAGGCTTCATGAAAATGCTCAAAACAAAAAAAAAATTAAAACCCTCATACCTCCCTCCTGCAGGTGATCGCCGTGGTGATGGACGTGTTTACAGACGTGGACCTGCTTTGTGACCTGATGGAGGCGTCCAACAAGCGCAGAGTCCCTGTCTACATCCTGCTGGATGAGAAAAACCTTGACTACTTCACAGACATGTGCTCAGCGCTCGATATTCAGACCTCGCATCTCAATGTAAGTACTAAATACACATATCATTGCTGAAGAAGGGGGAAACATAGAGGTACAGTGTCGACATTCACTCTGTAAAAATCAGCTAAATTAAGAGGAGACCAGGGAGACAGAAGTTATGTAAAGATTTACATAGCACAAAATCATGTCGAGAGCTGCCTCAGGATACTTTACAGGATGTAACATGTAGACTAAACTAACACACATATAGAGAATAGTACTGAGAGAAACTGTGCATGAACTCTTCCCACCACTCTGAGAGTTTTAGCTCAATTTTCATGTCCATACTCTCTAGATGAAATGCAAGATGTCACCTGTAACACAGTATTTCAGCTACATTTTGTCACAGGCGACAGATCCAACGAATCGGTGAGCTTTTCCAAGCCTTTTCTTTTATACGATGAAAACTGAGGTCTATGTTTTACTATGATACTGACCGCCGTCTTTCATCATTTAGCCTAGCTGTTGTTAGCTTGCTGACACCTGCGCACACTTGTGATCTCTGTTTATCACAGACACACACTCCTGCCTCCTCCTGCTCCTCTCCTTGCTCTGCTTTCTCTGCAATTCAGTTTTGATGATCATATTTTCATTGTGAAATAGAAACCTGATTCAGCTGGAGGTCTTTGCCCTACTTTTATTTATTGATTTTGCGTCATCACCACAAAGCATTTCTATGACAGGGCGTTGTTGCGATTGAATCAACATCTGGTTAAACTGGGTGTAAGATACTGTTTACTAGCTTGGCTTTAATAAGTCTGCAACCTGTGTCTCTAACACGAGAATCACTCTATACACCGTCACCTTTAATATCCTCTTCTCCTGATCCCGGGCAGAGATGGTAACCTTTGAACTTCAGAAGTATCAAGTCTTTCACTCTTGATTTTTAAGTGCATCATCCTGTTTTTCCTTTTTTAGGGCACCACAGTCAGTTTTAACATACTTGAACTCTGAAAACTGGAATTTAAAGTAATAACAAAGGGAAACAGTGATAGTGTTGATGTTAAGCTGTATTTATACGTGTCAGATGAACAGTTACATAAGTTCAAACTGAAAATGTGTGAGGCGTAAGAAGGTATTTTGCGGCCTCAGCAGTCCACACTCAGCTCCTAGAAGTCACAGCACAGTGTAAGAGAGGAGGAATCTGGAGGTTGTAGCTCTGGTGTGTGTTCAAGTCTGTTAGTGTAGGGTCCTTTTGTTTGATTGCTTCAGTATTGACTTCAATTTTATTTCAGTCTTTGGTATTTTCTTCAAACGCCTATAAAAGAGAGCAAATCCGATGGCGTCTTGCTGTGTTACAGTCTAAAAATAAAACCATAATTGCTTGTAATGAAAAAAATCTGTCAATGAATTAAAATAAAACTGTGCTTTTCAAGTTTCTGGAAATAAGAGAATGTCTTTTTCCAATAACTATTTTCTTCTACTACCACTGGAAGTTCTGGCAGGTCTTATTTTTGGTGAAACACTTTTTTTAACCAGAGACATGACAAAGCACCTGCCAAAATTTCAGTTTTTGCAGCAGAAGCAACATGACAACTGCCCACTGAGCATTTTTTGGTCTAAAAGAGGTTTAATAGAATGTCTGAATGTAGTCTAAACGACTGGTCTAAAATCAGGCTACCACAGGTCTGAAAATGAAAGTTTAGACTAGCCAGCTAACAGAGATCTAACTGTATATTGCTCAACGGCTATCATAATTATTTTGGTTTAGTACATGAAGATCAGTTATGCAACTCACAGTTGCTTTTTGAAATAAATACTTATCAAATAATGGGTTAAAGTACAACGTCTAAATTCCGTCTACAGATATACAGAAACTAGACGGTTGAAATCAGGTCTACAAAATAACTAGATGTCAAATAGCCACCACTACCCCTTATTTTCTTAGTTTTCATATGTCTTATAAGCGCTTGACTTAATTTATACTGTTTCATTTTTGATTTTCACAATTGTTAAATATATGTCTATATATGAAGAGGATATGGTGAGAGGATAGAGAGTGTGTATGAGGGCAATGACCTGCACCAAATACTGTCAGGACAGAGAATCAGTTCTACGACTCTGTGTGAAGCCTCTGTGTACAAGACGCTGGCTCTATTAACTGAGCCAGAACCAGCAGCCTAATACTAACGTGATTTCTTATCTGAGTCTAAATGTTTATATGTGCGTCTTCTGTGTTTGTGTGCAGAACATGCGTATTCGTGGTGTGTGCGGGGACACGTACTGCACCAAGAGTGGCAAGAAATTCACCGGTCAGGTCCTGGAGAAGTTCATGATCATTGACTGTGAAGAGGTCATCGCTGGGTCGTACAGGTAAATAACACACAAACGCAAAAAAATGGCCAAGTTAAGTGATGAAAAATGTCCAAGTACATTTAAGCTGAGAGTATGGGTGAGACCTTTCAGAATAAGTTCAATTATAGAACTGGACTCACACCACCACTTTCTTTCTGGTTCTTAAATTGTGTATATTGTATATAGTTTTATTTTATTTTATTTTATTTTCTTCTCCCCTTTTTCCTTTTTCTAATTTTTTTCTTAATTATAACATTTATTTAGTTTCTTAATATCAGGATCTTTATTTTTATAACTGCATTTTGCACTACCTTTGTTTGTGATGCTGCTGTGGCAAAAAAATTTTCCCCATGGGGGATCAATAAAGGAATATTCTATTCTATTCTAATTGCATGGCAGAGTCGGACCACATTGACTGGTTTTGATTTTTGCTCATTTAACCTCACTGCAAGCACAGTAAAATTTCCCTTTTATATCATTGATGCTACCTTAAAAAAAACTTGTTTGTGGCTCAGTTGGGGGGCACATTTTAACTCAGCAGCCTCATTTTAAATCACAGTATGTGTACACCAGCCCAAAATTCACATCTTCATGGTAGGAATACACATCTATACTTAAAGCTCCTGTGAGGGGTTTTTAGGCGGTGACAAAACAAACTGAATTCAAAACTGATATCTTTTTACGAGCTTCAAAAGCAAACTAGCCTTTGACAACCAAACTACATTATGTAAAAAAACAGAGTTTCTGGAGCGTGTTATGCATTTATGAGCAGCTTTATAGGAATGGAAGTTGTGAAATACTTCAGTACAGCACCAGCTTTTCTTACTTCATCAGGTGATTTGCATTGATTACGCAAGGAAGGAAAAGCAGGAGCTCAGAGGCTGTAAAGTTACCAGGAACCATTCATTTTTACAGTATCATTCCTGCATCCTCGCCTGCATGAATGTTGGGTTATCAATAAACACCCATGCTCTTAGATTTCCTACTAATTCCCTTTCAAAAATTCCCACTAATTTCCTTAAACCAACAAGTTAGTTTATTGGAGAACAAATAGAGGTGGGTGAAGTATGAAGGGCTTGCTCTTTGTCTTTTAGCAGCTTTTACCATATGCAGCCATCACCAGATATATTCACATTAGAAGTGAGCTGGAAAAGGGTGGAGTGTGAATGATCGGCATATTTCATAAGTTGAGTTTGATATCAGCAGTCTGAGGCTATCAGGTTTTCCTTTGTGACCACCTGCTGTGATGTAAAGTTATTTCCTCTCCTGTTGGAGCTGGTTGGTGATTGACTGACGCCTTCACGAAGGCGACTTCTTGGCCCACACAGGCAACAGGTGGTGACACAGCAGTAAGCCTTGTTTGCTGCACGTTCTTTGAAGCCACTATGGTGCGTCTCGGGGGTATAAGCCATGGTGCTTTGCCAGAGAGATGGAAGCTGTGCAGGACAACAGGCTGCAGTGACGAATATTGTGTTTTTTTCTGCTTGTTCAACGAGCACAAAGTCAGGAAATATCTGCAAACTTCTCAAAGAGGCTGCAGCACTTTTATGTATGAAGAAAATGGACTTCACCTCGTTCACACTGAGTCAAGACATTTTTTCCTCTGTGGGTGTGGAGGAGCTTTGCCAACGTTTAGACAATGAAGCTTTGCATTTAAGACTTCAATCTGGTGTTGCAGTTTGGACATGTCGGGTTTTAAAGATACACGCACAAACCTTTCAGGGAAAGTCTGCTGTTTGGTTGCATGCTGGGTAATGTAGGACCCAGTGTTTTTGTACTTTGACTTGGAATACAAAGATTTTAGGAATTTAGACTCATAATAATTGGGCCTCTGCTACACCTGTTTTGACCAATATACTGTCTTTGAATATGTCTTACAACTTAACGAAAGTCAGACAAGAAAAAGGCAAATCAAAGAAATAAAAGAGGTTTTCACTTTCTTAAACCCCTCACATATTGGAGACTTGAAGCTTTTATATGACGATGTGTGGGTAGATTCTTTCTGTACAAGAGACATTCAGGCTCCTGAAGTACACACACACTTTGCAGCTCTCAAGCCTCAAACATTTGACATTTACTTTGCATCTTTCCTGATAAGCAGGACGTACAGGAGGAAGCCAGCTGAGCTCGGCTCATATTCAGTTTGCAAATGTGTGGATAAGCTGCAGAACAATGCTGGCGTTGTGTAGCAGAGTGAGTGCACTACAGCTGGTGGTGAGGAGATGTTTGTGGTATTTGAAACTGTTTGAGAATACCTGACTAATACCTGTAATTAGAGCTACACACTCGACGAGGACAAGAGACTGATTACCCTTATAGAGTACTGCACAGACACGTTTCGAGACACTCATTCAATTACAGTAGCACCCTCACCCTATCAGCCAGCTTTTCCTCTGCGCTTATGTTGTGTCAGTTTTCAGCTCTGATGAAAGAAGTGTTTGATTTTATCAAGATTTAAAGAAGAAGCTCTTTCATTAAAACCTTTAAGGAAAGACCAGAAATCAAAAAACAAACTGAGATCAAAGAATGTGAAACTTGTTTTATATGAACAATCCTTAAAATTTCTAGAAAGTCAGCAGGCAGCCTTCCTCAGAGATTTAACCAAGTCGATAACTGGGCCTCAAGGCAAAAGGTGTCTTCGTAATACCGGAGGTGAGGGGTCTCATGAGACAGGATGTAATGCAGTGTGTTCACTGTATACAAGCTATCCAAAATGTCATAACCTGAGTGTGACTCTGTAAGACAAGTTTTTTTTTTTTTTCACTTTAATATTAACCCAATATGTATTTAATGGATTTAAAATGAGGGGGGAAATGCACTGGCGAGCAAAACAGAGTATGAAACAGCTTCAACTCTACAGAGTGAGTCCTCTTGATTTTACCTGCTGAGCTCTCACATCAGCTTGACCTGACTTCTTCAAGATTTCTTTTCTGAGCTGCAGGCGGGAAAAATTCTGGTTGAGATCAGTGTGAAAAGTTTGTGTGACCAACCTAAAATTTGGGGGTAGATTTTTAGGAGTTCGGTGCAAATATAACAAAAAAAGACAAAAATCAGGGTAAATCATGTTAAAATAGTTGGTAAACAAATGGTTTCAGGGATTTGTCATTGTTGTGTGAATTTGTTTGTGATTCAAAGAATCTGTATCTTTTTTGAAACCAAAGTTTTTTGAGTAAATTTTTCGATTAATCTGTTCTGATTGTTTATTTGATAACTGGATGAAGAAAACAGTCAGAACCTGCAGAGTTTTTGCTGTAAAGAGCTGAGAGAATGGTTTTCACAAGTTGAAGACTGATATGGGTTAGAATGATGATAAGAGAGCTAGTTGGCTAATGGCACATAAATAATGCCATAACATGTGGATAATTCTGATATGCGCTATATGTTGATATATTAAGATCAAGATGAAGGCTGGTCTCCAGTATCTTCTCGTCGTTCCTCTGATTTTCCTCCTTTTACCTGGATCCTCTCTCCACCAGGCAGGGCCATAAGCTCCTGACACAACAGAACTGAACATTTGTTTGACAGATGACAGAGATCCTACTGAGAGGAAGTGTTGTTCAGAAAATTAGGGATGTACTGCAGGAGTGTGTTCGCATGAAGCAAAACCTCCAGTGAAGACAGCAGTATACTCTTACTTTAGAGTCTGATGGGTTAATCCTCAGCTGATACTGAACTCCATTTTGATTTACTGTTTGCTCTTTATTCCCACAGGGAGAGTGTGTGCTTTATTCCTGCTGTGCGAGTGTAAGTGTGTGTGTGTGTTTGTGTGTGTGTCAGTGTGGGTGCAATGTACCAGAGAAGCTGCCAGACAAACAGTACTGTGGGTTTCTGACAGCTGAGTGTCACAGAGAAGACGTCCTGAAGTCTCTTCTTCACTTTGTGCTGTAATTTGAATTCCTGTCTCAGTGAGCAGACCACAGCCTGATGGTCTCAGATTTTTCACAGTCTGATCAGCCGAGTCTGGGAAAGTCTAAAATTTCAAATCTGTGTTACAATTCTATCTTTAGAAATCTGAAGACATATAGGGCTGCAGTTGGGTGCCAAATGACAACGATGTTCTCTACAAATTTCTGCAGGTCAGGGTTTGTAGTTTTCTGCTGTCTATTCATGTATGGGTGTGTTTGTACTAGTTTTGTGAACACATATCGCAGGAATGCCAAAAGTTACTGTTTTTAAAATTGGCACAAAGGTCCCAATCTCAGTTTGAAGTTCTGTGTTTCTAACCAACTTCAAATAGACCTGACCGATCATAGTTCCCCATCCCCATATATTGTGATTCACACCAAAACTTTTACTGTTACGTGTCTTTTATTAACTTTTATTTGTGTTTAAACTGGTATGTTTACTGTTCATAATGTTCCTAAAACGAGAAATACCCTAACCAGGATTCGAACCCACGACCTTCTTGCTGTGAGGCGACAGTGCTAACCACTACACCACTGTACCACCTACCTGCGCCACTCTGCCGCCCATTGGTTATCTTTCAGCATTGAAAATTCCAACAACACCCTTATTTTTGTGTGTTCTGGATCACAGTATCCAGAATTTTGGCGGCGGTAATGAAATGCCGCTGACTGGTCACTCTGAAAGAAGTAAAATCACTGATTACTCAGTCCTTGATCCACTTCTGAGGATTACTGCAGTCCTCTGTGTGGCCCATGAATCTACTGTGATACTTCAGGAAATGGTCCACTCACATACAGCAGACCCATCCTGGGGTTAAGTCTTACATTTCATGCAAAGTTGACAGAGTTCAAGTTTAAACTACAAACAAAGCAGCTGAAAATTCCGCTCTCATTGAGGGAGTTTTTCAGTCCATCAGGTGGCTATGATTTTATTAGTTCCCTTGTGATTCCTGGCTTTAGTCTCGAACAGTTAAAGAACGGGGGTCTCTTTACCATCACAGCAACAACTCTCAATGCTCGAGTCCGAGGCCTTTTTTCTCTTCTGTCTTTTTTCTAACTGACTTTAATTCTCCTAGATTGCTTTGTATGTGTTGCAGAGTTACGTTGTTTTGAAGTAAGAGGAGTCAAGTCAAGTCAAGTTTTATTTGTATCTCACATAGCACAAATTTGCCTGGAGGGCCTGTACGGTCTGCACAGTACACAGCATCCTCTCTCCTCAGACGCTCGCTCCCCCAACACGGTCATATTAGCGAACTTCAGGAGGAGCAAACAACCGACAGAAAAAAAAAGTGAGAAAATAGAACAACATCGTTAAATCAAAGGCGTGTCCCAAACTGCACATCTTAATTCTCCGGTCCATCGGCGTGACACTTGTCTTTGTCTCACTCCTTCCCTTCTCGGTTCTTGTTACATAACTCTCCTTATCACCCGTGAGTTTCAGATTTGAGCCGACAGTTGCAGTGGAGTGTCTTTAACTACAGGCTCAGTGTGGTTTCAGGTGAGTGTGTAGGGTGAGGTGTGCACTGCCGGCTGAGGAATGAAGGGCGAGGTCCGGAGAGATGCCAGTTTCCTCTGACAAATATCCCATTGTTTCATCAGCTCAGCACACCTCTACCTCCCTCCTACGCTATCTGCAAATAAACATCTTACATATGCAATCAAAAAAAACTGCTTTACACATTAATGCCTTTTACTTACAAGAAAAAAGAGGGTTTACATTCAAGAGACAAACAGTAATTCACACTGATTTGCTGATTTTGCAGTTAAACTTCTTAATTTGGTATCAAAAATCATCATCTGGTCACTTTTTTGGCATTTTACATCATCACAAAACATACTTAACCTATTTTTAGTTCAACACGTAGTTTTTTTTTGCATGATGAATCTCTTTGCAGTAATGGTCGTGCGCGTCCTCAAAAAAGTGACACTATGCGGTTGCAAGATGAGGCATGCACATAAAGGGGAGGACAGGTGTGGAGCAGGTGCAACATGTTTGTTAATTTCCAGTCACCTGCAGAGTGATTAACCTGATTGTGTGAAGCTGTTGCTACATTTTCAGTTGAGTTTGGTTTTTATCCGTCCTAATGTGCGATATCCTCACCGCACCACCCGATCAGTTTTTACCCACGCCTGACCTAGTGGTAATGAGCTGAGCTGGAGCAAACCACGACCTGCTGAAGTGGAGGTGGACATACTTTACTTAGTGGATCAATTTGTGTCTTTTGCTCATAGACTTGGGGTTCACACATTCAGAAAAGCAAGCCCAAGTAAGCAACATCTAGTTAAAAACAAGTCCAAAGAAAAGAACTCACGAGTTCTGCAGGCGACTTCTGAGAGATACAAGTTTAAAGTCTTCTATAATAAGCGGACTTGGCAACTCTAAGGCGTCTACAAATATTTTACCATTGTTTAAACTTGTCTCTGTTCATGAATGCAGATCTAGGATGTTTGCACGTGCGTCCAAACGGAAATGAAAAAACGGCTAGGTTTTCAAAATAAAAGCGACACACTTTTATAGCGTGTTGATGAGTTGATTGAGGGACCTCACGAAGGGCCAGGCAGGGACATCCAAAGGCCCGGATGTGGCCCCTGGCCCGGGTCAGCTTTGACTGTGGTGGACAGGGCTGCTTCTACCCTGGGAACACAGCTTATTGTTTAATTAGATAAAATACAGGTGCACTTAACAGTCTGCATTAAAGTTTTACTCTATGAAGTGTTTATTAAAAGCCTTTGTGTTAACAGTAAAATGAATTAATTCAAACCAAAGAGAAAAGGTGCAGAGCCAAGAGACTAAGAAAAAAGACAGCTAGGCCTCTGCAGAGCGCCAATAACCCAGACAGTTGGACGCATCAGAGCTGTGAGATTTGGAGCTTAAATGAAGAGTCTGCATGTGCAAAACAACTGCTACAAGAGCGAAAGTGTATTCACATGAAAAATAGTTAACCAAAGGTCAAAGTTAAACAGAAGCTGGGTGTTAAAACTCACCCACTTTCCCAATAAAAGTCTTTTTTTGTTGTTGTTGTTTATCACAGATTTTTATAAAGTAATTATATATCTTAATGTCTAATTGGTATACGCTGTCATTTGTTTTAGTCACTGATCAACAATCTACAACTTTGTTCACTAGATGAGTTCCCTTCAGCCTGTCTTCAGGTATGAGGCACATTTCTTTTTAATGACCTCTGTGGTGAAATTTCTTTTGATTCTGTGATCAGGTTTCAGACAGTTTATTGGTAAAGTCAGACGTCATTTCTGAGATAAAGTTTAATAAGCTGGCTTGTAATATGAAGATGAAATTGAGCATTGAAAAGTTCACCTCATTGCCTTCTCGTTGTCATCAGGACAAAAACAAACAGTGATTTATGGTTCCTGCCGAGAAGGCGTGCTCTGATCAGGTCCTCCTCAGGGCAGACCGGGGATTTCACTGGAGCTGAAATGTGTCAAACATATCTGAGCTCTGAGTGATTTATAATCCAGTAAAGCTGTCCAGCAGGTTCCTCTTAGTTTTACTTGGATGCCGTGAAACATGCTCGCTGTTTTAGCTCGCCACTCAGCACGCCTTAAATGGCTTCACATGATTAAACTTCAGCTCACTCTTAATGACCTCATTGGTTATGGTGTTATCATCCCTGCAGAGCTATTAACAGAGGATTTTAAAAACATGCAGGGTGAAAGTCATGTTCTTTATACTGTTGTGCAAAATGATAGCAGGTGATTAAACTGAACACCTGCTGAGCGGAGACTCTTTTTTACGACATGCTGGTGCAGATGCTGCAAACTGACTTCAGACTAAGATTAACTATTGTCTCTTTTCAGTTCTACATCTCAGACTTGAAATCTCACCATTGGCTATCTTTACTGTGATCCTTCTCTCAAACGAGAATTTTATTCTTAAATATATGCCTGCTATTGCTTCTTCTACTAAAGGGATAGTCCTGATTTTTTAAAGTAAAGAGAACTGGAGCAGTGTACAGACCTGGATGGCTGGTCTGGGTGCTGCTGACTGAGGTGGTCTTTACATGAGTACGAATTTGTAAGACACCGGTAAAATAAACTATCGATCTGGTGATATTGACACACAGAGACGCGTATTTGTCCATGACATCTTTTTTGAAAACGGGTCTGCAGGTGGATATCTGGGTAATCGTCTTCATGCCATAGTTGGTACCAATAGATAACTCCGGAAAAGACGGTGACCTCACAGCACCCCCAACCCACATTGTCACACACACAGCAACAACAACAATGGCAGTAGCTGGGGTGATTTTGTTCTTGTTCCAGCAACTACGAATATTGCTACGACTTTTATACCAACATTTAGAACAGCAACAACACCAGCTACGGCAACAAAGTGCTCATGCAGAGATGCAGCATGTTACCCGTGCACAACTTGTTGTCGTGGAATCCACCTCGGAGCAGAACCAGACGGGCAACCCGAACCCGATTTCATGTGGATTTTGCGTTGTCATGTAAATGCACTTAGCCTATGTACAATAACAATGTGTAAACAGCGACACATGTTTTGGTGCGGAAGCCAAGACAAGACAAGACTGAGCCACGGTTGAGCATATTGCAAAAACAAATGAGCCCTGTGACGGCAAAATGAAGGGCTGAAAAAATTAAAGTGCTCAATCTGACAATGTTTGGGTTGGAGTTTTTCAATAATTGTCCAGAGTACATGGTTAAGTTGATCCCATCTGCAGCAGGTGATCCCCCAGCTTCCATCTCCTGTTTTTCATCAACCATTCATTTCATTCGACCAGACCAGGACCCCCTGATGGGCGATTTTAACAAATCCCCATCTCTAAATTAGTTTCCAACAAGTCTTCTTTCCTCATGTCTCCATGCTGTGCAAAATACTTATAAGCTTAATCTTTCCATACAAACTCATAGACATATACTGAAGTCCAGGCTTCCATCCCCACTGTTATCATATCTTCATGAGAGATATGGAGGATAAAACCTTTTCCACACTCAGACCCTCCTTCATTAGTTACAGTCTGTGGGCTTTATGAGGGCATGGTGCTGAATTCATTTCCCAGAATGGCATTAACTTGAGTGATATGACGTGGCTCTTGCGCACCCTTCTGATTAAGCCGCCTATCAATAACCTGTATTAACCCAAACTGTACGATAGAGTTTATCACCAAACCCTCCTCCCACCGTGTCCTCAGAGCAACCACGAAGGCGTAATTTTATCCTGAGCGTTCGTACTCTTGCCGTCTGCTGCTGGCTGATAATCTGATGACTCATCGCAGTGATTCATTTTTGTATTAAAGGATAATCTGCTGTTTATCAGCTGGAGGTGGAAAGAGATCATTCACACGCACACGTACTGTCCTGTTGTGTGTTTCATAATTTCATACACACCTCTCCTGATAGGAAGAGCGAGAAGATCTGACAGATGTGACCACCTGCACACTTTGAAGACGCTGCTTCACACACGGTACAGATTATTTCTACTACAGAGAGTTGAAGAGATGCGCAGGAGGGTCACATCCTGTTTGTGATGAACATTTTAACAACTTAAAAAACTTAATAACATAATGATCGGAGTAGTTTTCGTTGTTGAAGCACAGTGCTAGAACAATGACTTTGCATTATTCCTGTTTGTGTACTGACTGTCATTGTTGGTGTTATAATAAGATGTGCTTCATTAAATCACCCATCATAATTCCCCTTAGAGAATCAAACGAGAAGTTCAGTGCTCGATGATGCATGTGAAAAAAAAGTCAATCAGTGGTTACTCACTCATAGACTGATCACACGGCAGTATTTATCCTATTAATAATGATAATAATAATGCATTTTATTTATGATGCACTTTATATTTAAACAACTCTGAAAGTGCCACAGACAGGGTATAAAGACAGAACATTATAAAAGCATGTAAAAAAAAAGGAGACTATAAGAGCAACAGCTCCTGGAGCTAAGAAGAAACAACCAAGATTATCCCTGACATGTCAATCTATTAAAATCTCCATGGGGGGCAAAGCTTTCAGTCGCTCTGCCCCCCGACTCTGGAACCCTTTACCATCACACATCCGCAACATAGACTCCCTCCCCCTCTTCAAGTCCAAACTCAAGACACACCTGTTTAAACTGGCCTATCCATCCCACCACCCCTAACTCACTTTTTAATTTTTAATTTTAATTGATATTATTTATTTCTTTATTTATTCCTTTGCTGTTGTTTATGCTGCTTTGTTGATTTTAACTGTTTTGATGATTGATGACTTTAATTGTTAATAGTGTTTTATTATTGTTTTTTATGTTCTGTAAAGTGTCCTCGAGTGACGTGAAAGGCGCTTCAAATAAAATGTATTATTATTATTATTATTATTATTATTATTAAGAAGTCCCTGTTGTACAGAAACACCGCTTGCAAATCTGCACAAGCAAGTCAAGGGGAAACTTATTCCTATTAACATCTCCTTGAAGTTCCTGCAAAAATCCTTACCTTGGCAATATTTTGGTCTGTAATCTACAGACCAAGAGGACTGCATTCAAACCCTTGAACTTCTGCCTTGGATTTCACTGTGTGCTCGCCGGGCTAACAGGCTGCTTTCTCTCTTTCCTTTGAAGAAGTTGTTGATTTGATTGTGCAGTGATCACAAAAAGGAGTAAAAAGCCTCCTCAACAGTTTTTTCTCCATCTTGGTTATTTTTATGTTATTTGTGGAGAATCTGGTTAGTGTTATTCTTCTAAAATATGGTTGACCTGTATATACATTCAGATTATACTGATCAGTTGGGATTAAACACAGTCAGAGTCATCACCTTTCAGGCATTAAGCTGCACGTAGAGGACGACGCCCCTGCCACTGTAGATTATCCCTGACATGTCAAACTAAGGTGATTTTTTTTTCATACTAATTGAGATGAAGTTGTGCTGAATTCTTTAGATGGCTGAAGGAAAACGTTGACTTTTTTTCAACAGGAGGAAGCAGGACTTCTTCGCCAAGCTTTAGTAGAGATGTCACAGTATGGTGTTTATGACTGAGCCTCAAAATAAGATGTAAATTTGCGCTAAACTGAACCAAAACGAAGGATTTGTACTCTCGGTTCTTCCTGCTGCTGACTGATAATCTGATGAGTCACTGCAAGGATGTGTCTTCTGAGGCTGATCTGCAGTTTCTCAGCTGTAGGTGGAGGGAGATCATTTTCACAAATACAGAGAATAGACTCTGAGTCTATGTGACATTTGGTGTTACATAACTTTACTACATATTCCTCTGATGAGCTGAGTGTGGAGTTTTATACATTTGTGCAGTTTTACACACCGAAACATAAACAGGAACAAAATGTAAAAATGTGCATCCTGTTTCATATTCAGTGTTCCTGCTTAACACGTGCATGGAGGCGGTGTGAGAATTTAACAACATAATAACAATAAGATTAGCTTCCATCCTTAATGAGCATGGTTTGGTCTTTTATAATGATCATGATTATGCTGTTTCTGGTTTTATTTTAGCTCCCGATTGTTTTTATTCTTATGTTTTATTCAGTGCATTTATACCTTTTTTAAATGAGGGTTTTATTTAAATTTTAGCGTCTCCTTGGTTGAACTGATTTGTATATTATATGTTAATTTGACTTAAATTGAGTCATAATTGCTGTTAATTGTATTACAATGATATTCAACACTTTTGCTATTTTATTTCACTCTAAATAACCACAGTGAAAACTTTAGATTTGGTGCGTAAATGAGTTTATTTCTCAAACGAAAATAGAAATCTTTGACCAATCCCAACAGAAGTGTCGCAGTTTAACAGTGAAACAGCCTGAATTTATGGCCTTTTAAGAGAGTTGAGTAAGAATAAACAACCTAAAGCAGAAATACTTTTCGGACAGATTGTTATTCTAAGTTTCGGTGGATGTTTTGAAAGCTGCTGTGAGCAACTTCTGTTTGTGTTGATTCTGGCGCCCCCTCTGGTCAAAGTGATACCTCTTACTTCCTTGCTGTCCTTGTCAAAAGAAGTGTTTCCTGATGAAAATGCTCCTCCTGTTTTCTTTTAGCACTCAAAAGCATCACTCTCTGTGAATATCTGCAGCAGAAACAGTCTAAAAGGCTTTTTCTTCTGCCAATTGTCTGGTTTGACACCAACCCCCTCATCGTGGTTACAGGCATAAAAATCACAAAATACAAGCCGTCAATCCTGACGTACATGGTCTTGTTTGCTTTTTAGGTCACAGTGAAGCATCTCTGTTCAAATCAGTCTTTCATGAGCAGCTAAAAACTCCCCATGGGTGCTTTAAATAATACTCTTGACACATTCAAATAAAAATTTAATTTAAGAAGCAAATCTTTTTTCCGTCTTTGCTATGCTTTAAAAAATAAGAGCATGACTGTGCACACATGTAATCACACTGAATACACAGGCGTCCTGTTCGTGGGTGTCACATGACACAAACAGCACCATCTTTAAGACTGACCTAAAACCAGACGTCTATAATCAACATGCCTCCTGTCTGCTGTAAGCTGTTAATACAGTCATGCAAAACAGACCACCTCCGATACTTATATGTGAATTCCTTATGATTGTGATTCACTTGGAGGTAAATAAAGATCTGAACCTGTTATTTATATCAATAGCGATGCCTTTCAGTCTGCAGAGAGAGGGTTAGTTGTGTCTAACTCGAGGTTCTTTCGAGATGAAATGCTCCTAAAGATGCCGACAACAGCAACAAATATATTTAAATACATTTCTTTTATTCAACAATGAAGAAGCTCACTGAGCGTCACGGTCTAAATCAGTCTGTCTCCGCTGTCCTCCCGGCTGCTCGGTACAAGCAGATCTCTCAGGTTGTTCAGGTGACTCACTGGATCCTCACTCCTCTTCCCCTTCTGTCTCCTCTCTAGTTTCACCTGGCTGTCGGCTCAGGTGCACAGCAACATGGTGATGCATTTCTCCGGTCGCATCGCTGACAGCTTCGACCGGGAGTTTCGCTGCCTGTATGCCGACTCACAGATCATTGACTGCTTCTTCAACGCAGAGGAGGAGGGGATGCCTTACTACCCATCATATCAGGCTCTGATGCCCTCCAGCATGGGCATGGGGCTGGGTCCCATCATGGGTCTGGATTTACTGCCAGACAGGTATGATATGAAAAAGATGATGTCAGTCTAAGACATAACACTTGTTTATAACTTTGTAGACTAACACCCTGATAAGAAGCCCATCAGTTTTAGTTCATATGAATTAATTCTTTTTTTTTTACTAAAACTCTAAATTCAGAATTTGATCAGTTTTGCCGACATAAATTATCAGGCTCACACTTTCTCTTCCCCACCCCTTCCTCCAGGCAGAGGGACAGGGGATGCTCTGAAAACTCCAGCAGCCAATCAAGTAACAGCGTGTCGAGTGTAAAAGTTGCACCCGGGATGTCATCAAACCCAGTTTACAAGGTGACTCAGAGTCATGACAAGAAGGAGCTCAACAACAACCCCCACCTCAGCCCTGAGAGGAGAGGAGGGAGCGGAGAACGAGGAGGACAGACCCCCACGCCAGGGTCACGAGTCTCTGCCAACGGAGTATCCAATCACAGCTCGGCGATTGACAGGCCACCGCCCCCCTACGGTCATCAAATGGGCATCGAAAGGAACAAATCCGGCTCTGCAGATGCCCTGCGCTCCAATATCGGAGGAACCTCCTCCAAGTTTCAGGCGTTGGGCTTGTACGATCACAAACCGAGCATGTTCCACAATCCTGGGTTTGTCCCTGGGGCCCCCAACTCAAACCTGAATCCCAAGCCTCAAATACCCACCCCCGCCAACGACAAACTCAACCCCAAACAGAGGACTCCTTCAAACCAGTTCCTCAACAAACTCTCAGACTTCTTCCTGCCCCCTTCCAACAAGGACTCCTACAACTTCCGGAGGTCACCATCCCCTCATGGGACCTCCCCCTGGGGTGGGCCTGATCTCTCTCAAACTGAGCCAGAGAGCCAGCAGAGCCCCCCACCCCCGCCCTCACCGATCACATTAATGAACCGGCAGGACCAGAAGCGGATGACACTGGGACACAGCAAGCTGGACCTCGTGAACCAGTACAACAAGAAAAACAAGCAGGTGTACAGCCGCTTTGAGCTCAAGACCTCCAACTGAGCCGAGACCCGCCTCCTTTTGGTTGTCTTTTGCATTATACGAGTCGATGACAAGTCTCCGTGGACTGTGATAAAGAGGTCAGTCCTTTGTCTTCCTCCTGGAGGAAATCAGGTGATCACGGCCATGTTGGCTCAGAGGCTCCTCTGGCAGAGTTCTCCTCTGTTATCACTCAAACCTGCTTCATCGTGTGAGAAGGGTTTACAAATACAGGAGGGTTGTGACTTTTTGTAAGGTTTAAGTTTATAGAAAGAAAAATGACCTTTCCAAATATACTGTAAGTGATATTTAAGAATCACAAATCTTTAATGTTTTTGAATGATCCAACAAAATCATGTGGTTTAAGCTCCAGTTCTTTCTCAGAGGTAGACTATGCACATTGTCTGATCAATAGCTGTGTGTTTGGTAGTCGGTGGATTTTTTTTCCATTATGATTTAGTGGATTTTTAACTATCAAACCACAGAGAATATAAAACCTGGACATTATCTCAGAAATGTCACCCACTGGGTTTTGAAGAGTCAAAAGTTGTTAGTCGCTGTATTGCACATGCTGACTTCAACTAACATCTGGCTCATCTACAAAGAAAGGTACAGCATTGCTTCAGAGGTGAAACCAGGTGGTGGAAAAATCTATTTAGCTATCCTGATATTCTTAACCCTGATTAAGATAAGAGAAATAATAAAATGTTCCTTTATTAGTCTCAGAGGGGGAAATTCCAAATCACAGCAGCATATAAATACATAAAGAGAAATTTAAGGATGAAGAAAGTTAGGGTTAAAAAAGATATATATACTGATTGGCTATATAGATTGATTGGCTACTCGCTTAACCAAAGGTGAAGCTTGTACTGAAATAATAAGTGTCTTTCATGTAAAAATCTCATCCTGCAGAGTGTTGGCAGTAAAATATCTCAATAATTTGGGAGATCTTAATTGTAAATAGTAAAAACGGGGCTTTTTCTTCTGCTGCTCAGCTGACGCCGATCCTCTTGCAATGATTTGAAGCAGGAAAAACGACCGAAATAGTCTTGTTTGCTTTTGGAGATCATGAAAAGGCATCAAAATAAATTCAATCTAATTTATAAACATGAAAAAAAAGATAAAAATTCCCATCGGAGCTTAAAGCAAAGTTTTGTGTTGGAGTTTGCTGTGTTTCAAACTCTCAATTTTGGGTGAAAGTTTGTTATTTCCCTGTTGATGTAAGTCAGTTATGTATTACGGTTATAAGTCTCACAGAAAAATCCATTTTTACTGACTCTCACTGAAAACCATAAGAGAATATGGTAGCCGGCAGTTTTATACAGCAGTAACTTAGGGGACATAAGCCTTTTCAGCACTGATGCCAACGTGACGCCTGTTGTTTTAACAGACTGATAAATCAGTCTATCTGAAGTTCACATCATTTAATAAAACCGATGGCCAGAATAGCTGAAAGTAGATGTGTTCAATCTGCAAAGCTAAATATAAACAAAGGCAGGCCTGCTCTGCCTTAGCATGGAGAAAAATTATGGAAAAACTGAACACAGGTGGTGCCGATACTGCTTTCTCTCCACCACTTGTTAATCGCCTAAACTGGCTCAAGAAATGACCATATGACCATTCATCAGGCCAATGAGATGTAACAGTGTCTGCCATATATCTCACAAATTCAAGTATTGCATACAGACCAGCCAAGTACACACAGTTGTGTACACAAAGGCTATAAAAAGCAGGATGATGTCTGGCCTTACTCTTCATACAACAAGGACGGATAGGTTGTAAAAATATTCCCTTGAACTGTTTTGAGGAACAAAGAAAATATTTGGTGAGATCCAGATCTATTGTTTGTTCAAGGCTGTAAACCTGTTAAACACCAGTGTGCTGTCCACTGCCTTTGGAGACAGCCTCTAGTGGACAGTGGGAGAACTGCATTTAAGGACTGGCTTCAGGTTCAAACACCAGAGCTTTCAGCTTGTGTTAAATATATAATTGCAGTTTTAAGTCAAAGTTCAGGACACTGATGAAGTCTCATATACTGAGGGATACAGAGTGATATATCAAGGCTTGGTAGTTGCTTTATGGGACCTTATTTGGCAATAGTGTATCAAGAAGTCCCACACTCCAGTTTCAAAGGTTCGTGTGTGCATAATGGCAGTGATACGCACTGATATAACACCAATTACATCACCATGAGCATTGTTATCAGGGTGCAAAGGTCGTGCATAATGTAGTCAACCTTGATCACAAGAGAAGTAATATAAAGCTCTTCAACAATAATGCTTTTCTGGTCATTGGAACGACAAGTGACTAGAAAACTCCAAATGAACGTTTGAGTGTGCACTAATCTATCAAAATGAATGAGTGAATTCTTTGTTTCAGTGAGACTTCAGATCAGATCAGCTTTCATTTTTCAGATTTTTACTTTCTAAAGTGTTCAATAATTGTCAAACATGTGAAGACAGGGATTCACTCCGTGGATTAAACCATCCTTGTAACACTCCTGTATCATAGTGTACATAACACGTGCCTTGATCATCCTGCCTTAAAGTTTACATTCCTATGTTAAACAAGTAACATCTCATCAGGTTAGTGCTATTTAAGGTACATGAATGCCTATCTGAAACCTGCTGTGACTACAGGGAACAAAGCTCATTTTGAACAACAGCAGAAATTATGTCCATGATGCTGTGTTTTAACACTTTCCTGAAAACTAGACGCAAATAAAAACACACTCAAGGGCTTTGGGGGCACACACACTTAAAGTAAGTTCCATTATTGTACATCACTTGTTCATTAAGATGAGTCTTTTTCCTTCCTACTCTAGATTTTTTTACAATAAAACAGCATTTTCTTTGAATATGTACATTTGTACAGACCACTTAACAAATAAGAAACGGTTAAAACTGATTGTATTATGTTTTCTTTGCGTTTCATTTTGTCATGAATTGTGCTGGTGTACAGCAGTTTTTGAACAGCACTGCAGGGATTTCCAAGCAAGAACGGGAAAACAAATGTTTGCTGTAATCACCCAAGCAATAAGGATGAACATTGTGAGTAATTATTTTGATAAATGTGTTTATCTGTGTTTTATTGACTGTACATTCCCTTTTGTTTTTTTTTTTTGCTAACTACAGTCAGCTGGACAAAGTGCAGGTAATGACTAATCCATGCCTCATGTTTGTCTGAGTGTACATGATGCACATTATTATGTAAATAACACATGAACAGACTGTCAGGAATTCGGGGTCTTCATCAAAGAATTGTTTTTGATTTGTTATTTTTATGATGTTTTACTGGACAATGTGAACTTTCTGTTGAAGTCCTAATTTGTAAGAAAAAAACATTTAATAAAAAAAGTAAAAGTTAAAAACAATAAAAAGTGTTGATGTCGTTCATTATGGATCAGAGGATAAAATAGATGAAATAGTGTTTTGAATAGGTGACAAGTCAGTGTTTTGCAGTATTATGCACGGACAATGTCAATGAGGGGTGCTTTATTGCTCAGAAGAGGTTCAAATCAACACAATCATGAGAACTTCTTAAGCTATCACTGAGTTTTAAGATGCTTAAAGGACTTCATTTAGCATGTAGCTGCTGTGCCCAAATAAAGTGCTGTGATGCTCATTAGCCTGCTCTGCACTCTTCTCTATTGAATCATTTATTTGGCTCTTCTTTCTTTGTCTCAGGGCATGTTTTGTAGAGATAAGTTATTTATAAATGAAGTTTTGAATTTTCCTAATGACTGAAAATATCAGAAATATAAAATTGGAATATAAATCACTGGTTGCTCAAAGTTGTATAAACTAAGGACCATCTAAAAAATTTGTCAGAGAAAAATGTACAATAACTTTCTATGACCCAAATTTATCATTAAATAATACAAAAGAGTGACACGCCAGTGAAATCAGGATGTTTGCTGAAAATGTGTAAACCTGTTTGTAAGGCACTAACCCATCAGGGAGCCTTTCTACAGCATGTTTTCCTGTCAGGAAGTGGAGGCCAAGGTCTGTGTTATGGGCCATTGCATAGACAATGTAACAGTTATGAATTCTCCAAGGACCAGCATTCGAGCAAAAAAGTCCCCAAACTGGACAATGATGACACAAACAATCAAAGCCCATTATTTATGAGACCGATCTTGAAATAGAAAGTGTCTCTGTGCAGAAAAACAAAGAGGAAATGGAAGATTTTGAAGCAGCAATCAAATGTGTGGTTTTTGCATTCAATGAACCTTTTAAATTCAAATACATGTATGTATGTATTTATGTATGTAAATGTTATTTAATAAGCACAAAACTTTGTAAAAGCGAGTAACTTAAATAATCGCACCAGTGGAGGAAACCTAATGTAGGACCGCACAGACAGTGGGCAGTGTAGCAAGAGCAACAATAATGATGACAATAAAATCAACTTCCTTTTTATAGTACCTGTCAAAATAGGGGAACAAAGTGCTTATAACAAATCTAAACAAAATATAAAAAAATAAGAAATGTCAGCAATACAATGACTAACAATTTAAAAGTTTAGCAAAACGGTGGTGATCTGACAATATAGGAGTTACAAGAAACAAACGGATGAGGAGATAAACAAGTTTTAAGGCAAAAATGAGATATAAAGTGAAATAAGAAGATAAACGCCACAAAAATCCCAGAGCCCCATAAAAGCTTTTAAAAAAGACTAAAAAATACCAACAGATAAAATAAAATGAACAATGTCAGAAGAAAAAAGGCAAAATTTTAAAAAATCTAAATGATCAAAATAAATAAATTAGAAGATGCTGCCTAAATGTGCAATAATTGCACAATCTGAAGTATTAAAACACATCTATAAAGTGTGGGAAGCACTTATTATAACCCCAGCTCCCAACCTAGGACTCAACAGTTGTTGTTAGGTTTGCATTAATTTATTTATTATGAATCACACATTCATAAGGCATTATGCTGCTGTAAATTGTTATTAATGTTTAAATTATGAGCAAGGAATGTTCAAAGCAAATTTATTAAGTATTATAAGTCTTGATATTACATTGTAAGTGGGGGTTTATCTGAAGTGCATCTAAAATATGTCTTTTAAAGAGATTAAAGGGATGATACTGAGGTTACTGGTCTGATTGCCTTTGGGAGGTTGTCTAGACGATGGATGCTCTGGCAGAAAAAACTTTGATCCTCCGCCACAACTGAGTTCAACATGTTTCAAAACAAGTGCTTTTCATCAAACATTAGCAGCGCATTTAGAAAAGCCTCTTCCAGGACAACTTCGGTCTAAACCACCAGCTACATGTGAGAACCTGGTTACAGGTTTGCTTGGCACGTACAGTATTTGACATGTGGTCCTGGTAACAGGATGCCTTGTTATTTTTGTTGGGCAGTCAGTTTGTTAGATCCGTGTTGTTTACGAGGTTGAAGTTTACCAGAGTTTTTGTCTCTGCTGCATGTGCTGCATTCCAGCTCACTTTCAGGACGCTGTTTTGTTTGAACCTGGGTGTGACGACCGGTTGATTTAACCTCATGCATACCTCTGCTTCTTTACTTTGTAAAACAGACGCCAAAGAGCCAAACGCTGACTTGACTGAGAAGCTGCTTTCACCGACTGCACAGAGTCTGTGATGATTACTACAAAGTGTCACAAAGTAGCTCTAATTGATGTTTTTATAACAGCAGCGAATCCAGAAATAGTGTGTGACTCTCAGCGGTATCTCTGGTTGTGCTGAACAGGCAGAGGGTTGTCTGCCAGAGCTGACCTTACAAAGATTACAATGAGTTTTTGTTGAGTTGTCTGGCTCACAGTTTTACTCTTTTGTTTGATCTTCTCAATGTCTTTTTGAAAATAAGCCCTTGAAACCTTAGGCTTGAAAAAGTGCAGAGTGGATGCATTACTGGTTCAGAAAGACAGTACTGGAAGGCCTCGAGACAAAACGCTTAAAAGAAACACAAGTTGATCGTATACAAGCATGTCCAGTCATGAAATTGCACCTACCTGGGGTATCAAAAAGTGACTTTTGGCTGCATCAGTTCTGGAGATAAATGAGAAAGTCAACAGAGGAAACACCTTGGCATTAACCTCCTAAGACCTGGCGTCCACATGTGTGGACATCACATTTTTGGTTGTCAAGACCACAATATTAAATTTTGGTCTACAAGGGCCTTCTCTCAAAATTTAAAACGAATGTCCTCATATGTGGACATCATTTTTCTCAGAAACTACATCATGTAAAAAGATCATTCTTTGTTTTTACACTCATCAGGTCCCAATTAGCCTAAATATCAAAGAGAAAATAAAAATGCATGCCTTGCAAGAGTTCGGGTCTTAGGAGGTTAAGCCACGATGACATCCACAGGCTAAGCTCCGTCAAAATGAAGACGAGTTTTAGTTCACTGAATACAAAATACTTGAAAAATGACCAGGTGAACATTTTGGACAACACTGCTTTTCCAACATTGCAGACAAAAAAAGAGAGTGTTGGTAAATCTGGTTGATGTTGTTGGGTACAGCAGTAGTTGTTTGCATGTTTGCACATACACCATGATAGTATCCCAGTTTGTTTACAACTCTGAAGCACGGATTTAAAATGTTTACAAGGAAGCCAAGGATGCAAATTTAAAGCATTCTCCACGTTTAATTCTTAGAAATATTGAGGATCAATTATCACTTGTGTAGGAAATATTTGTTTCCATAAATTGTGTATTTTTCACAGCAACATAATTGATCTAACTGTTGCAATTGCAAAGCAACCAAACTTAGACAACATGGCGAGCAGGCTTATAAAAACAGTGATGTTAATGGAGATTCATATGATGTTGAAATTCTTCAACAAGGGATCTGAACAGGAAAATATTTCAGTCTTATTATGTTTCCATGCACTGTTAAGTCGAGCTAAGGTCATATGCAGCTTGATTAGGTGATTTAACTGGACTACTGTCCTTGTCTCAGTTTACAAGCACCAGGCGAGAGCTTAATTATTGACAGAAACACGTCCGCCTCTACTACAGTAGATGATGACATGCCCCCTTTCAAACCATTACGATCAGGTTGTCTCCTGGTTGACCTGTTACATACCCAAACAATTAACAAAACGTCTCAGCAAGTGGCTGACGGGATCCACATCAAATAATGAAAACACCTTCTCTTTTTATAGCTTAGTACCTTTTTTCGTATTGTATTTTTTACATCCTTTCTTCATCTGTCAAAATTTTTTCACCACCTGACTCTCAAGTGAACCATTTATTCTAGTCAACTTCTGACCTGAAGCCTGGAGTACAAACTGTTGAGAATGTGCAGAAACACTTTTGGCCCGTTTCAGTGGACCAACTTCAGTTGGACTAATTTCAGTGACATGTGAACGTACTTAAACGTATTTTCTGCATACTTGTTCTTATTGAGAAAAAATAAGCACATCTACTAGACAGAGTGTCAGTCACAGTCAGTCAACAGTAGAAAACACACTTTGACGACAAACTGATGTACTAGCTCACTTAAGAGAGTTATTGGTACACTTAACAGGGACAGACAAAGCTTCAAAAGTGTGTGTGTGTGTGTGTGTGTGTGTGTGTGTGTGTGTGTGTGTGTGTGTGTGTGTGTGTGTGTGTGTGTGTGTGTGTGTGTGTGTGTGTGTGTGTGTGTGTGTAGGTTTGTAGGGCAGACGAGGAAACACTAGCTGCCCTGCTCATGTTTCAGACTTGACCACTCTTACTGGCATCTGTGACAGTCAGCTCCACAGAGGAAGTCCACCAAGTCGTTATACACCTGCGGATTTTTTAACTCTCTGTGCTTTAAAAGAAAACCTTCATAAACCTTTCCAGATGCATGCTGGTATCAAAGACTCGCACAACTTCAGAGTTAACGTCATTTGAATGAAAGCTCTGAGTCAAATCCTCGTTTTTACCCTTTAGGATAAAATGACTAAAACTGAAAGACATCTTAATCATAAGACTCAGACAAGTTAGTGCTGTATCTGAGACCTTTGCCTTCAGAAATGATCACTGATCGAGCAGCCATGGCCAGCATTGGACAGCTGTAAGACTATCATAATATTCACCAGTTTGCAGATATGCCACAGTAAACTCACTCTCCTGCACACATTTGATTATCAAGGGGGCCACATCTTTTCAAGGTCCAACCAAATTAATTGTTCACATTGGCAAATTAAATACATCTGTTTTAAGTTGCTTTTAGTGATAATAAACCTGCAGCGCCTTTCATTTGTCTAACCAAGCCTGGTTGTCTTTGAAAACTCCCACACGCTGGAGTTTAAGTCAGGGAATATTCAGGGCTTTAATGATAATTATTAAGTAAAAGTATCACCTTTTTGAGGTTTAAGCAAAAACTGAGAATGAGAATGTACAAGCTGTGTTGAAGTAGGAACTATGAATGAGCTGATGTTGGACTATTTAGGCTGCGCAAGTAGTCAAAATGTAAAGCCTGATGGGTGTAAATCTATGTGTATTTCAGATGTCCACGTACCGTAGCATGTTGTCACAATGCTTGCAGGCACTGACCATCAAGAAAATAAAATCAGACTTTTTAGGACTTAGGTGCAGCTGACTGAGTCATCTTTGGCTCCTATATGCCACTGTTAACTGCACAGTGAAATCAGCCCAGTGATTAAACATCGTGTCACAGTCGGCACATTTCGCACAGTATAAGTATTGGGCTGAATGTATGGGAGCAGGAAAGAAATTCAGTATTTCCCTTTCACCTACTGAAAAAATTGAAGAGGATTTGGAAGACTGGAAGAAGCTAGAGAAAGGAAAACTAAAATAGGGAGAGGGTGAAACTTTATCTGAATATTACAACTTGGTTCCTGTAACTCACAAACTTCCTGTTAAAACTTACTGACACCATGCGTTATAAAACTGATTATTCCATTAGCTAATACACTGGCCACTGAACAAGGCCAGTAGTCATCATAATCAATCATTTCTCTGTGATAATGTTGATGTTGATTTGAGTTTACTGACTTCATATTGACCTTTTATCTTTATCAGCTACGGTCATCCTTTTATTGAACTAATGAGTTGAATCACTTTAATAGCTGCAGACTAGAAGTACCTCACGTTGCCAGGTCTTATCTAAGAGCCTCTCACTAAAACTAACGCTGTGTTCTTAAAGCAAAAAGTTTCCCCTGATGAGAATCTCATTCACTGCAACAAGTTGCACAAAACAATGAAAACAACAGTGTTAAATAGGTTCTTATTGAAGATGAGAGTTCATGGTGCAAACAGTGCATTTAAGGACAGACAGAAGAGCTGACATCTCTCTGATCAGCCAGAGGGCAACAGAGCATTGCTATTAGGTTTTTTCACCCAAAATATATTTATATATATTATATATAAAATAAATATATATTTATATATATATTTATATAAAATGCCACCAATAAATATATATATTTATATATTTATTTATTTATATATATATATATGTATATATTTTAAACTAGTGAAAAAAAAGTGATTGAGTGAAGTCCATTTTTGTATCATGTATTGTTCAGGTCAAGATTTTGTCAGAGGAAATTAGTTTTCATTTTAGTCTCATTGTAGTTGGTCAATATTTCAGTGAAATTGAATTTTTATTTTTCTTCCTTGTCAAAGAGAAAATTGAATCCCTGCAAACTGTTATAAAAAGTGCAGTTAGTCACATTTCAAAAGCACATATTTCTTAACTACATTAAACTAAACTCTGTTAGTGTTATCTGAATGATTCGGAGTCTGAATTTGATTTTGACAAAATCATGAATCATGAATTTTAGGATGTAGGACATAGACGTTTAAGTAAAGTGCCATTGAAGTTAATGATCTGTTAATGTCACACTGTTTGCTGACCGTCAAATAGGTGTTATGATGAGTTTTGCTACCTTGTCAAAATGCCGCCACAGTGCAAATCAGTAGAGACCAGACTTTTACATCCATCTTACACCCACAAGGCACTGTGTCCTCATCAGGGATCGATACACTCAGTCTTGTCTTCTTAAAATGAGTCCACAGGTCATGTCTTTTCTTCCTCTCCATCTTACAGGTCACAGGTTGTGATGAAGCTCCAATTTTTGGTGGTGCAGGAGCCTTGTCAGGCTTTTGACCATAACAGACCATTAACAGACTTCTTCCCCACACGTACCTGAAGGAAAATCAACCAATGACAGTGAAGGAGATGAGCGAAGGAGGTGAGACTTTGCGCTGAAACATTTGTGGCAGATAAATTATCGGTTTAAAAAAGGAAAACAAAAAGTGATGTAACTGTATATAGTTGACTGTTTCCAATTGTCACCATCATCACTAACCCCAGAGCATCTATAAACAGAGATTTGACCACAGTTATTGTGGTTATTGTGGTGTCTGGTCAGTGAAAAGTGCAATAAAAATGAATATTATTACTATTATCATTATCAAAAGTTGCCAAAGAGCCTGATGCTTGAAAACAGAGAACAACAAACCAATGAGTGGGAACAGCAGGTTTTAAAGGATGTAAAATTGTAGTCATACTTACCATAATGTTTGTGATATATTTTTGGACCACCCTTTCAACTTGAGACACTTTGGGAGTTGTTTCTGAGTTATGAACCCGAGAAAAGGTCACTAGAGCCTGTAGACCAAGAGTGGACACCTGCAGTATTTCCTTAGCTGTGTAACATGACACAGGTCTCTCTGTTGCTTCTTGTGTTCCTCAGTGCACCCCCCCCTGACTGCAGCTGATCTCAGCCTGTTCAGCAGGACCTCAGGCATTGTTAGCATGACAAAATTCTCACAAAGGAGGCTGGGAAAGTTACAAACGGAGTATTTTTGTGGGGTAGTTTGCTGCTTTTATTGAGGAAATATGAGAGTTAGCATCAACACTTAACCCTCATATTCCTCTGAAAATATACTGATTAGAAAAAATGAAATTAAGAATTTGTTTCACTATGACAAGACTTATTTTAATAGTAATATTACTCCTCAAGTGTATGACTTCATGTACTTTCACAGAGTCTCATGTTGGTATCCAGACCCTGAAAAATCAGTGCACAGATATGATTATTCCAGTGTAAACAACCAAAACCTGAAAATACACCACTGAGAAACCGCCCTTTATTATCTCATATAAACATTACACAGTGTCCTACTTGGATGCAGCAGCAGCAGCATTTCCTGCAGCGGCACAGAGATTCTCATTGTTGTGATGTTATCTTCAGGATGCAGTGTTCTTCCTCCCTCTGAGGGCTATTTTCTCCTAAGGTGTGTGTGTGTGTGTGTGTGTGTGTGTGTGTGTGTGTGTGTGTGTGTGTGTGTGTGTGTGTGTGTGTGTGTGTGTGTGTGTGTGTCAGACAGTATCAGACCTCAAGGGCTGTTGCTTATTCTGAGGGGTTGGTTCATACACATGTAACTCCATGTATGTTTCCATCACAAACTGTTTAAACTACTGGACAGGGGAGCAGACCTCACAGAGCTCCCCCTGGTGGCTGGCTACAGTAGAGTCTTAAAGACAGCCTTCCACACAATTGTGATGGACATCACTGACAGATGTCCCTTGTGGTAAAAGTGTTTTTACAGTGGGTCATAAAAAAACTAAAGGATTTAAGCTCTTTGGCAGCGAACATTTCATCTCAGGCTGCAGATTTAACAAATCATTCAGTCTTTTCAAGCTTTATTAAACCTCTTTTAAAACAAAAAAATTAGGAGTGCAGTGTATTTTATCACTTCTTTGCAAAAAGCACATCCTGATCCTCTCTGCCTCAAATCAATCAACCAATCAATCAATTTTTATTTATATAGCACTTTTCATACACAACCATGTAGCACAAAGTGATTTACACAGAAAAAGGAATAAAAGAAATAAAGAATACCCAAATCTACCCCAACCAGTGGCGCCTCGCCTGAGCTGCATGAGCAAAAAGAGATGTCTGCTGTCTCCCTGAAAATTATTCTCAAAGTAAGGAAGTGGCACTATTATATTAATCATTCCATTAAATGTGTATTTCAGTCCATTAGCGATCTCTCTACCCAGCGTCGGGGCGGACTTGGAACGTCTGTTGTCTCACGCATGCTCAGATCACAGTTGTGCATTAAAAAGTTAGCTTATCCTGGCCAAATTAAAAAAATCCTTAAGGGGCACCAGGGACGAGCGCCCAAACGTCCCTGATTTGAACGACGTAAGCATGTTCATAATCAGATTGGCCACAAACGGCCGCATAGTTACAATGTGCCTCTGACGTAGCTAGCTGCTCTACTCGGAGCCGGTCCGCCCCTCACTCTGCACTTGGCTGCTAATGACAGAGGACGTGGGAATGGCTACCGCAAACCCCCTACCGAGTGATTTACCGGAGAACGCTGCGCTGTCCATCAAGTAGGTCCCGTATTTTTCTTTTTCCTTTGTAAGAGTTGTGTTCTCTCCTCCTCTGTAAGAGAACAAGATTGGATCCATCAGCATGAATTAAAACTCAATTAAAAACAACAAAGCTGTTGAAAAATGTAGAGTTGCTCATAACTGCCATTTAAAAAGTGAAAGCCAAGCATCCTTAAAGTCTAAATTATGACTGTTTTATGGCACAATTCCATCTTTTAACATCATGTTCGATATTTAATTTAAAAAAATGACTTTTATCTTCTAATTTTGACTTTTTATCTCACATTTATCACTATATCACTGTGAAATTAACTTCCATACAAAACAACAGAAAAAGAATTTCTATGGATTAAAAATACAAAGGCTCTCCTGGTTCTTTGCAGCTTTTGGTAAGTGAGGATTCTTCATCACAGCCCAAAGCACTGCAGGAAGTGTCCACCGACCCTTGGATCCCCGCTTTTTCCTGTTCCTAAAATAAGGAAACACAAACAGCGAAACGGGAACACCTAGTGGTCTGGAGGGGCCATCACAGAGGTAGATTTACAAAATGAGGGACAGCTTTACAGAACACAACATGTGAAAGCTTACAGCTGGAAATCTCATTATGCATCAGAGGAGCTTCTTGTCCTGAAACACCAGCAGAAGAGGTGATCAAGGGAGCCTCACAATCTAGCATCTGTTCTTGAGATATCATTCATTTTTTTGCCATTTGTACACACTGTAACTTGAATTGGCACAGCATTTTATTGTCTGATTTGTGGTACTCTCTTCATTTCGGTTTTTCAAAATGAACAGAGAAATTGTTTTTAATTTGTGCCATACCAGCTGGGGGGTGGCTAGCAGGGCTTAAAACTCTGTGTCAATCCACTCAGTTTCCCTGATGAGGCTGACAAATCTCCATGAACAGTTTTAATCGATGGACACAGTAAAGGAAAAAAAATAAAACGGATGATGGCAGTAAAGTTTATTTTTCATGTAGCAACTCACATTTACCCAACAACTTGCAAAGTTTTTTTCACATTTCAAATCTATTTGTCTAATTAAAATGGGTTGAAATTAGCACTATACCTCCCATAGACACATATTCCCACAGTCCCTGAATATTGGGCTCAGCCCCCTTCTGCTCACCTCTGGTTCTGTTCTTGTTTGGCAACAAGAACAGAGTCATGTCTGGGGTCTTTGGTATGCGGGGCAGTTTGCTTGTGGACAGCAGCTGAAAGCAGCTCAGTGTGCAGTCTGCTCTGGCCTTGAGTCATTTGTTTCCTTGAAACCATGGGGGAGACTTACTCAAAAGAAGACTACGACAGATTTGCTTTGGACTATTATGCCACTGCTCAAGGACATACATGTATTTTACCAGATGTTGGTGTAGATGAGTCTCTGCTGAAGTACTCTGGCTTAGACTCCAACGCTGTGTTGCAGGCCTTCTCTAAGCTTCAAGTTGGCATTGTGCCAGGCTACGTCGAAAGACTGGGATCTCGTCTTGCTCCGTTTACTTCAGTCCCAAATGCTGTAGGACTTGGAGCTCTGGTGCTTTCTATGATCATGGAGATCTGCATCAAGAGTCTCCCTCAAACGGATAAATCATACGAGATGTTCCGTCGTGTCTTCGGGGAAGAAAAGGCCTCATCGGTCCGGGACACAATGTCAGAGTATCTGAGGCGCCATCGCACATTCATCAACGACAATGAGCGACTGAAGGAGGAACTGAAGAGACTAGAAGCTCAGCTGAGTAACCACCTCACCATCCTGAGAAACTCCCTGCTGCATGATGGACAGATGAGCACTCGTGGCTTCAAGATCTGGGTGAATGGAGCCTCCTTCCACATCCAGATGTTACTCCATGAGGCTCGACTGAATATTCAAGCTGGCAAACATCAATCAGAGTATGTTCATACGATCACAGCTGCCATAGACTTATATTTGATGGACATGGATCGTTTGCTTGCTGAATACAAGACTTACAAGCTGAGTGATACCAAAATATACCCACATGGTATTTGCTATTATATGTATTCCTGCTTCAACTCTTGTTACATTAAAAACTCTGAGCTGAACTGTCGTGTAGAGCATTATCAGAAACCTGACCAACCCTGTGGACCAGATGGTTTGAATGAGGCTTTTATGAATGTAATTTTCTCTCAGTATGAACCAATTGCAGGCCTGAAGAGTCACTTTGTGAATTTAAAAAACAACGTCCCTGACCTGATCAACCAGCATGCTGCATTCATTCTGCCAACCTGAGATCGCCTCACCTGAGCAGTTTACTTTGCTTTTTCCTTTCTGCTAAATGACTTTAAACACCACTTAAGCCTACTTATTGTTTATAAAAGTTTTTGTAGAAATCAATATTAAAGTATAGTTTTTTAAAAGTTACCCAAACTCTACCAAGGGGGTTTACACAGTAGGAAACTGCATGTGGGATCCCAATTAGAAATTAGACAAATAAATGAGAAAATCTATTAGTAAGTTTGATGTTCATTGTTTTATGTCTGTTTTTTTTTTTTTACTTGACAGATGGAAAGTTTTTGACTTAACAGTTAATCGTGTTCCCATTTTTTCTTCTTTATGCATTATAAACATACCACTAACAATGATCTTTTTGTAATGCATGTGAGGTGATATTTTAAATCATGCTTTTTTGATCATATTTTGTCTTTTAAAACAGGAAACACAAGAGCAATAAATACTTTGTTAAGGCATCTCTGTGATAAGCTTATTGATCCACACATTATAGCTGAGAGACTATTAAGTTCGAATTAATCAACTTAAAATACATTAATATAATGTATCAACCAAGCAGTGAAATTTTGCTTTGATGCAGATGAAAGTTAAATCTTGGCCAATTGCTTTATAGTTGAGGTACTTCCCTTTGAAAATAAAAAAGAGAAGATATACAGAGGTAACACACTCTTCCACTGCGCCTTAACCCAACCAATCATAAATTAAAGGTATAATGTGTCATAATAAACCGCCTTGAGCACAGCAAACTTGGTAGAAATATGTTTATAGATATGTTTGAATTAGTTCACAGATAAAGGGATATTCCGGCATAAAATTGATTTTAAACACGCCTAACACCGAGTTAGATACCCCCTCAAGAGATGAATGTTGCCAACCGCTTGCTTCTCTAGTTATACCAACTTTAGTAACGACCGCAGATAGCAATACAGAGAGCAACACGCTCAACCAAAAAGCCACTCTATAGCCACAAATAATGTTCAGAACAGCGCCTAACTTCTTCAACAGTACATATAGGGTCCCAGTCATAGTCCTAGCCACCAAACATCTTTTAAGCTTTGCCTAATTTCTTTAGCAAAGAGACTAAGCACAACTCACCTACTCTCTTCCAGCATCCGCTTGTTTGTAGCGAGACCCTGGTTCCAGTCCATTACAGCGGGGTGACACAGCTAAAGGAAGAACATTTATGATCATTTCTTAATCATTTCCTTGAAGTAATAATCACCATATTAATCATTTTGCACTGCAGACGCGGTAGTTCTTCTGCCTTAGCGTCTCAGTCTGATTGCTTTCCATGAGGAAATGATCTATGCCACAGTTACCTTCCTTGCAACAAATTTCAAAGTAAGAGAGAGCCAGGCAGCCTTCTTTTGAACCCCCTTAGCCCCTCCCCTGGGCACATCCATACACAAATTATAGGGGTTTAAGATACAATATGTAAGATAAAACACAACCTCCTCGATAAATCAGACATTTCACCACAGACAAAAAGGCACTAATAGCCCTCCATACGGCTAAGACCTTACCCCTTGAAAACAACAGTGGTTTAGACAAAATATCACAAATGAACTATTCTGGTATGGTCCAGCGGTCACATGACCCCCAAAACGCGCTACCTTACGCTTCTTGTTGACGGATTAGCAGGAACCTCGGTTTGACTCGAAAGGTGGCAGCAGGTAAGTGGGTGTATGTGTGTGTGTGTGTGTGTGTGTGTGTGTGTGTGTGTGTGTGTGTGTGTGTGTGTGTGTGTGTGTGTGTGTGTGTGTGTGTGTGTGGCGTGTAGTTGTCGAGTGTGCACCCTAAAACGCCAACAGCGGGGAGAAAAGAATCTAGGTAAACAGGGAAACAGTTGGTTGGAGTGCAGGACTGCGGGACACAGGTGCGGGGAAACAGTTAAACAGTGTGAAGGAGCTCGGCTCCGAGGGGAACGAGTGCGCTGCCGACACCGGAACTCTCAGGCCACGAGGAGAGTCCCGCGCCAGTCGGGGAATGACGGGGCGTCCAACGGCGCTTCTTGTACTATTGCTTTTACTTGTACTATTGCTTTTACTTGTATCTCTAAAGAAAGTCTTCATCAATTTTCACTGGATTAAGATGTGGTTTGGCTAAGATTTCGGTTTTGGCTACCAAAACCTGTAGAATTAAGAGGCGATCTCTTGGATCTACTCATTTGATAGTGGATGCAATGAATTTACTTTTTTTACACAATGACTCAAATAGAATGTGTCAGTGCTTACTGTTGGTAATATTCATGTACTAGATGTTTTGTAGGCACACCAATAAGGTGTGAGGAACTAATCTAGCATTAGACTTTTTAACTCTTCTTTAGGGATCAATACAATGCAATACAAGAACTTTATTGAGTCCCAAAGGGATATTTGAAATTCCTCCTCCAGTCTTGCCAATGTGCCAGGAACCCATTTTATTTATTGGTATATCCATAACGCACTAAATATGATCAGCTGCCAGAAATTTGAGAAAATAGCATGAAAGATTTTTTGACAAGTTTGAAGATTCTGTGATTATAAATAGAGAGAAAAGTAAAATATATATATATATCTTCATGTTGGGAGCTCAACAGCTGCAGTTAATTTTTAAACCACAGGGTGGCAGCACAGTGACGCAGTTAAATCAGCTCAGGGTGAGCGATTAATAGTAGATTATTAGTATCACTTTAGGGCAACACTAAAGGTGTGTGTGTGTGTGTGTGTGTGTGTGTGTGTGTGTGTGTGTGTGTGTGTGTGTGTGTGTGTGTGTGTGTGAGAGGGAGAGAGAGGGAGAGTGAGAATGTGTTTCTTATGCAGATACCTTTATGAGGACTATTGTTGGATAAATGTTGTTTGAGTGAGGATGTTCTTTCCAAAAGTTTATTATTATTAGTAGTAGTAGCAGTCGTAGTATTTTTCACAAAAGACTACATTTTTGTGTGCCAAGAATTCCAACTATCAGAGTCACCTTTAAAAAGCATGATAGAGAGGGTTAAATGATGAAAGAAAGTAAAAAGAACCAGAACCTGTAGAGGTTGTATCCTAAAGTCATTGAAAAATAGCTGCTTATTTTTTATTCAGAATTTTAGAGGTAACATTTAATATCATTCAGAGTAATACTCATGAAAGGGGGGCCACTTTTCCCTCTTTCAGCTCTGTTCATGCTCTCCAGTAGCTCCTGTGTATCTAAATACTCATTACCCACAAAATGTGCCACTATCAGATTAGATTAGATTAGATTAGATTAGATTAGATAGAACTTTATTGATCCTTTTGGGAAGGCTCACTCAAGGAAGTTAAAAATGTAATGATATGGTATGTAATGATATAATGATGTTATGAGAGGGCAAATCTTGAGCTGTGAGCGTTTTTGCTGCTAGCTAATTCTGCAGGTAACATTACTTCACAAAAATGTCAGACATAAGGACAAGAAAATCATAGCTATATGTCAAATATCTTCATTTACCAGCAGTCTCGTACAAAAAAAGCACCAAACTATGTACCAACACGATCATTTAATTCAAACATTAATTGGATCATGCACTGTGAGACAATGCATTAATGACAACCTGCTGTGAGGGAGGAAAAAGGAGAGAAAAACCCTGTTAAAACCCAATACAGTAATCTAATTTTGAGCCCTGTTCAACTGAATACACTACAAAGACAAGATATTAAGTGTTTAAACTGAAAAACTCAGTCATTGTGAATTTGATACTGTAACACGTTCCTAGAAAGCTGTGACACATTCATGTTTACCTCTGTGTTACATCACCTTTCCTTTAACAACACTCTACAAGCCTTTGTGAATTTAGGACACTAACTGTTGAAGTTTTAGAGATGAATTCTGTCATATTCTTGCCTGATAGACCACTGCAAATCTGGACTGCAGGCAGGCCAGTCTAGTACCTGGACTCTTTGACTCTGAAGCCTCGCTGTTGTAACTTGTGACAGAATGTGTCTCTGTGTTGTGTCCCTGAAAAAGACGGGGCTCTGACGACAGCAGATGTTGCTCCTAAACCTGTGTGTACCTTTTAGCATGAATGAAGCCCTCACGGATGTGACAGTTAGCCATGGGCACTAACTCACCCCCATACCATCACAGATGCTGGCTTTGACCTTTGACCTGAGGACAGTCTGGATGGTCCTTTTCCTCTTTTGTATAGAGGACACCACATCTATGATTTCCAAGAACAGTTTGAAATGTAGACTGGTTCAACCACAGCAGACTTTTCCACTTTGGGTCAGTCTATCTCAGCTGAGCTCGGGTCCAAAGAAGCCGGCGGTGTTTCTGGCTGCTGTTGATATCTGTCTTTGTCTTTACACGGTAGAGATTGAACTTGTAGTTGTAGAGATGAACTGTGTAAACTAACAATGGTTTTCCGAAGTCCTCCTGAGCCCACACAATAATATCTTCTATAGGAATGACCCCAAAAACAAAACCCCTTAGTTACACATTGAGAAACGTTGTTCTTAAACTGTTGAAATATTTGTTCAGGCAGTTGCTGACAAAGTGGTGAACGTGGCCCCATCCTTCCTTGTGAACGACTGAGCTTTTCAAGGTCCTGACTTTACTGGTTTGGGAATTTGTATTATGTTTTTTAAAATATTCACGCTATCGTTGATAATCACATCACATCCCGAGCTCTTTGAGTCAAGTTAGACAGTTCAACTTCACAGAGCAGAAGAAGCCTCATAAACTGGAACAGAGCAAAACATGTCAGCTGCTGATAAGTGGGTCACAACCCAGAAATAAGAATCTGCTAGGACTGAACAGGAGGCAGAGGGAGGTGTGAATTAGTCGTCAGACTGGCAGGATGAAAACAAGAGACGAGAGAGGGGAAATGAAAATAGGATGAAGAGGAGTTCAAGTAGTGAATAAGAAAAGCAAAGAGAGGACAGGGTTAAACAGAGTCAGTGAAATAGCAGTGAAAAAGACAAGAGAGAAAGAGGGAGGGATTCTGGCTGGCTTGTGGACAAACTGGTGTACTGAGCTGACAGATGATGATGGACGGGGAGTGGGAAGTGTTGGTGAGGGCACAGCTGACAAGGTGGGGTGTGGGAGTGAGAAATCAGATGGAAATGAGGTCAGAGAAGGAGGGGACTCCCTCATAAGATATCAAAAGCTGTTTAGTTGAACATTTGTCCCAGCTGTTTTGAATTACAGTGCATAATGATGTCAGACGTGACTTCATGGTGAAGTTACCTGGTGGTAGAAACAACACTCAGCACAGTCACATGAAGTTACAAAATTAACAAACTGTCTTCAGGGTTTTTCCTGGCTCAAATTGAGGCAGAGGTGGCACCATCCTGACCATGCGCCATGACGTGCATGTATTTGTAAATTCAACTGACTCACTTTCTTTTACAGGCAACATACTTTAAGTTAAGAGTTCAAAAAAGAGTGTGACCATTATCATGTTAAAGCATTCATTTATTAAAACTATATACATACACAAATCAGCTGGCAACTTTAAATTGAAAGTACACTTCATCCACACATCTCGCAACCAGACAGAACATTTCAGCCTCCTCTTTTTCATTCTGTAGAACCTCCTCATGCACTCCTTGTAGTCCAAGGCCTCGTGGTCTGGTCCATCAACGGCCACCTTACAACAGACATCCAAGTGCCTCTCCTTCAGTCTGTTCCGCAGAGGTGTCTTCACCTTAAACAAAACAATTCATCATGCATTAAGTAATTTTTGTTTTTATTCTGATACAGACATGAAGAGTGATAGTGTTTTCAATCATATATTATATAGATGTATACGCTGCAGTGTCCTCCCTAAAAAAAAAAAAACGACAACCAATTATTTCTTAAACTGTCTAAACTATGTTATTTATTTTTTGTAACTTTATTAGTTGAGTTTTTTTAGGTACTACCATCTTTAATATACTTCTCCCTCTCTTCTGCTGCTTTGTGAATGGCTGTCACCTCATGTATTTTTGATGTGTCCAGCCTGTAGTTGGTTGATGGCTGTCTCACTAAGGAGGCAGCAATTGCCTGCTGTATTGGGGCACAGTGCTTTTGGCATAAATAGCAGTGCATGCCTTCCTCAGTATGCCTGAGCCAGGTAAATTGATTGAGCCATTGCTTGTCAAAGCCACTGGCTCTGTGTTTTTCAGAAGATCTAGACAGAGGAATAAAAACCACGTACACGTTGGCTTTGCGTTGTTATGCTCCTAATTGGAAACTAATTAATTAATTACCCTCGCCTCGCCGACTCGTCCTGTCCTGCATTCTGACCCTCGCGATCACCAGTCCCTTGTGAAGTACTTTCAGACCTGACACAAATTTCCACGTTGTCACCAACATGAATTATAGCATTTTAACTGTCTGTTACGTTTTTTCTCTGCTGTGTTTCACCTGGACTCTTGACTTTCCTCCTCGAAAGGTCGCTTTTTAAAGTACTGGCTGATTTTGCCTGTCATAACTGCAACGCTAAAAACGGAGTAAACTTTTTTTTTTTTTTTTAAATAAACACGTCATGATTGGATGCAAAAAAGACAAGCAGTATTTACCTGTTTGTACCATCCGCCAGGGAAAATCAGGACGCCGATAGCACCAACTAGCGGGAAAAAAAAACTTGAAAAAACATGATTCGATCCGTTTCTTCTTCGGTAGATGCTTCAGGTCTTTCCGGTGCACTGCTGTTGATATAGCGCCTCTATAGTGGCGCAACGCTGCAACTGCAGTTAAAATACGTTGCTGCTGCAGAGGGACATCAATCGCTCAATCAACACAGCTGGAGCTTTACGCTGTGTTGAGCGAAATCAATCGCTCTGGCTGGGGGCGGCACAAAATTAGGTGGAGGCGGCCGCCACGCAATTTTGAACGCAGGAAAAACCCTGGTCTTGGTCCAACTGGAACAGGATTTTTAAAAACATGTAAACATGTTCGTCTTAAAATCACTCTACATCAAACTTTTCACAGCCAGACTAGCTTACCTGGATTATGCAGTTGGGAATTGATTTTCTCTTCCATGTACACAGCTCAGTGGAATTCAAACTAACCTAAATAGTGTGTTCATACTTTAGTGTAAGCAGGCCGGGCTTTGGGCCAGAAATTGAATATGTGTTACAGACAAAGAAAGGGAATCAAAAAGAGTAAACTTTCAAATCGTACATGCAAACAGTATAAAGCTGCAAAAACTATGGTCTTTTTATTATTCTGTGTAAATACTGTTAGCCCCGAGCTAGTGCACTTTGTTGTAATGTGTAACTGGGAGACAACTCGACAGTGACAAGCTGAAAGGGGTAGATCCAAAATGTCTAACTGGTGTCTTGGAGTGGTCTGAAGAAAAACTTCCAATGTCAACATTTTTTATTTCTACCAGCCAGGCACAAGCAGAACCTCTGTTCCTGAGAAATGAAGCCAGTGTGCTAACTGGTGTCCACTTGAGACAGGCAGTAAAAACCACATACACAGTCATTCAAAAGAGCCCATTTTTAAAGTGATTATTTGTTGAGATTCTGCTTCAGTTTTTGACAACCCAAGGAGACAAAATTGGGAAATCAAGCCAGGACTTGTTGAATTTTTAATTCTGTTGTACAGAATTGAACACACCACAAGAATAGTAGATTCTCTGTGGGTCCCTGTCCATGCTGGGGAATGAAGCAGCCAACAAGGCAACTGAGAATACTGAAAAAAGAGACATGATCTGAGAATACATCTGGGTTTCTCTGAATGTTGCTAAGGAGAGTGTAACAGGAGTGTGGCAGAGATGATGGGAGAGCAAAGGGTCATGGTTAATTTTCAGTTCAATGCAGTGTAAAGACAGGGTATTGTTATCTAGGCAAAAACAGATGAAGAAATATTATGAAGACTAGACTGTGATTGGGACATTGTGGATATAAGCATGAGGACAGACTCTGCAGAACTCACAGGCAACAAAGGATAAAACGTTTACTGATGGATCGTACAAGGAACAAAGAGAGCAGCTGGAGTCCAGACAATCATATCAGGACACCTACTGCATCCAGAAATCCAGGAAAAGAAGAGGAAAAAAATGTGCACTTAAAGTTAAACTCAAATCACAGATTACCTTTGTTTTTATGAGACTAGATCGAGTCAGCGGTGAGAGCAATATGACATGGAGTCTTGCAATAACACAGAAAAGAGGCCCCATCTTATGGCAGTAGCTGGTACTGCAGTTATTTCTCATTTAACTGACTTTATTTAAACGGTCACACCACAAGCACAAAGACTTTCTATTTAAAATCATAGAATGTGTAAAACACGGGTGGCTCTGCTTGAAGTAGCATCTTTGCTGTGCTGTGTTACCAGCTGAGCCTGTCCCTTTAAGAAGGTGACCATCGGTTAATGTGGGAGTTGTTCTGTTGGCAGGCCTGTTACAGTGTATAGAGAATAAAGATGCACTAATCAGAAGTATACTGTCTCTCCCTCTGCTGCCTTTGAGGTTACTTGACTGTTTGTTAGCAGGATAAACAAGTCAAGCAGCCACTTTCTACTACGGTTAAAAACAGAGCTGAAGAAGGTAACATGTGGTAGCATTTGTTGTGCTTCACTCTTCAGTAAGTTCACTTCCCGATTGGCTCTGAATTCTTACACATGACGAAGGACAGCATGCATGCTTGGTGGTATTTGGGCATCGCCAAACACATAAGGATTTCTGATTGGAAATATTGAACATAATATCTACGATTCACAGTCAGGGAGGCTCGATAGTCTTCTGCACAGATTGGAAGGCTAGAAAATTCACTCCTCATACACCTCACACCCCAGGATAAACTCAGAAGGTAACCTTTAAAACCATCCAATAATCTGGCCTTTGCTGACTTTTCTCACAAGGGGGGATCTGGCTCTAAATCAGTTACAATTGACTTGTAGTATGCACCCCACCTAGCACCTCTTCTGTCCTCCTCTTACACTCCTTTTTTCCACTACCTTCCTTTTCTTGTCTTGTTTTCCTGCTCTTTTATCCCTGTTTTATACAGACCAACAAAAAGTGTCTTTGTTCAGGCAAATACCATGTGGCAGTCAAGCGTCCTTTTTCCCCCTCATATACCAGGAACCATGCAGGTCATACCAGGATAAGGCATCATAAATCAATGCCTGTTCATTCATAATTTAAGAGTCTGAGGAACAACATGAAAAAAAAAAAACCAAAATGACGCAAACAGCAGCTGCAAACTCCTTTGAGACATTTCCGATTCCATTATTCTGAAACTCTGTAGATCTGATTATATGTTTGATCTGCTGGAGTGCAGCTCAACAGGACTGCCATTACATTGATTTCCTGCCAGAGTGGCTAAAGTGTATTTTAAGTAAAAGACAGCTCAGGTACATGCCATGTGAGTTCTCAGAAAGATGAATCATTCCTTCCTGTTTGTCTTTTTTACCCAGGTTTCAGGTTGTGAGCTGCAGTTTTCTTATCTTTATTCACAGTCTTAACCTATTATTCTTATTCGTGTTTATGACAGGCTTCTCCCCAAAGTCTTGGAGAAAGGCCATCACTGATAAGATCGCAAAATTCTGACGTATCCAAACATTTGCAAGTAATGTTCAATATTTATTTTTAAGCTGATGTTTTGAGAATCTGATGGCTCTATGACCTACCGGAGGCAAGCCACTAGTGTGATGATCGGTCACACTGACAGACAGCCTTGTAACTTAAAAATTTTCAAAACAAACTTGTTATCTGAAAAAAATCACTATCTGCACACTTTCTGGGGGCCCTGAGATATTCAGACCAAAACCACTTTTTTGTGCTTTTTTGAATAACCTGCGTGGTTTCTGGTCATAGACTGTATAAAGAATGGACAGAGTCTGCCTCCTCACTGGGTGAAGCCACTCCGAGAACAGCACCCTCTGTTGATGGGCTGCAGTACAGGTCATAAATCCCGCCTCCACCAGCAAAGCTTATGGGCCTGTGGACAAACTTTAGAAATTTATTACACAGAACATACATTTTTTCTCCCCCCTGCTTGTGATGTTGACGTGACGTCTTTGAAGCTCCGTTTTTAAAAGTTATTAGTGGGTTCATGTTTTCTATGATTGACACCTGGTACAGCCTATTGGCGTTCAGGGATTGCGTAGCTCACCCGGGGGGATACGCTGTTTGAGCCGAGCGTCATCACAGCGACTCTCGGCGACTGCGCGGCCGAATGCGCGCATCGCTACTGCGCAGCTCTGGTTTCAAGGAAGTGGAGAAAAACCCGGAATTACCGAGAGCTTTTTGGCTTCAAATCCGTATACAGGCGTAAGGCGGAACCAGGTTGTCCATAGTATATACGGTCTATGTTTCTGGTGTATCTGCAGCTTGCCTCAAGTGGACACTCTGGGAGCTGCAAATTTTGTACTTCTTCAACAATTGCATTTCTCAAGACCAAAGGTTGCCGCTTGGTCTTGATCTTTAGGTGCTCGAATCTCGATGCTGGATTTCACACATAATATACAACTCCTGCAAGTGTGGCGGTCATAGTGCACAATAATCAGTTCACGTCAGACTGGTGGAGGACGTGACATCAACCTGGGTCACTCACCCATCAGCTCACTCTTTCTCCTTTGCTCACTATCGCAGATTTGGGCAAGTGTTAGCAATGTGAAAAATGCTGCTACAGTTCCTCAAAGAGCTGATGTAATGTTGATGCTACACAATTACATGTGTTACTGTCAATAAGCCTCAAGTGGAGGAGTTCAAGTATCTCGGGATCTTGTTCAAGAGTGAGGGTAGGATGGAGCGAGGTCAGCAGTGATGCGGACGCTTAACCGATCTGTCGTGGTGAATAAAGAGCCGTAAGGTGAGACTCTCGATTTACTGGTCGATCTACGCCGACCCTCACCTATGGCCATGAACTTTGGGTAATGACCAAAAGAACAAGATCACGGATACAAGCGGCCGAAATGGGTTTCCTTCGCAGGGTGGCCGGGCTCAGCCTTAGAGATAGGGTAAGGAGCTCAGACACTCGGGAGGCGCTCAGAGTAGAACCGCTGCTCCTCCACGTCGAGAGGAGTCAGCTGAGGTGGTTCGGGCATCTGGTTAGGATGCCTTCTGGACGCCTCCCATTAGAGGTATTCCGGACATGTCCCACTGGGAGGAGACCTCGTGGCTGGCCCAGGACCAGGTGGAGGGATTATATCTCTCACCTGGCCTGGGAGCGCCTGGGAATCCCCCCTAGAGGAGCTGGTGGAAGTGGCTCGGGTGAGGGCTGTCTGGGCCTCCCTCCTGAAGCTGCTGGCCCCGCCACCCAGACCCAGAAGAAAACGACGACGACTGTCAAAAAGAGAAGTCCTAATTTAGTCACAGTCATTTATAAGAGCCAATATGTCAATACAACAGTACATTCATGAATGAGTTATCTAGATTTGGTGCTCATGTCACTTGCTGTCTTTTTGAGCTGTTGTTATGAGCCAACTATATGATGGGCTAGGACTTATTTTTTCTCTGTTCAGAGAATAAATGGCAACATAAACTGCAAAACAAGCCTCCCGCTCATCCCTCGACACACAATGCAGGAGGGTTTATCGAGCCAGACAGCCGCAGTGAAGTGCTACAGAGCGCTGGTACACGTGCAGGTCAGCCAGTCTGATTCTTCAAGTTAACCTCTTCAAGTAACACTCTTAGTCCTGGAGAGTAAGTGAACTCAAACTGTCAGAGATGCCTGAGTTACCTTACCTTCTGCCATTGTCAAAGACAAGCTGAAAAGGCTGGGGGCCTTATGATGTCAGTCGCAAGTGATTCACCACTAAAAACAAGCTGCTGTTCTCTTGTTTGTGAACGACATTGTGCAAAGCTTTGAGAGTTACCAGAGATGGTTCCTGTGAAACTGGATAACCCAAAAGAGCCCCAACCCTGCTCCTTTATTGAGAGAAGGATCGCAGACAACTTGAGCAGTAATCTGTGGATCCTTTCAGTGATAATGATTTTAGGGTTAAAGCTTCCCGTCGATTGAATTGAGGTGGGGTCGGAATTGAAACAGGATTTGCTTTTGCTTTAGTGTCAACTTAAATTGATTTTGTTGGTTAATGCTCGATAAAACTTCGATTTTGGATGTAGCTGTTCTCTAGTAGTGACCACTTCACACCCAGAACGCCAAACAAGAGCTGCGATTTTGAGATAATCTAACCCAGTCGTCTTGCTGTTATAACTGGTCCCTGTTAAAGCCGCTTGCATCTGTATGTTTGCCTTCTTTTCTTGATTTCAGCTCATCAGCTTGAAGGACAAAATGTAAATCTGCTACCTCCCACTGTCCACCGACTGACAGGTGTGACTACAAAGAGATTATCAGCAGTATTGTGTTCACCTGTCCGCGCTCGTAATGCCTCATGGGTTAAGTCACAATGAAGAACATAACTCTTTAGCTGTGGTTAATCTTTGTGTTTTTATTCTCATACCCGATGTGCAAATTCTTTTTTCATGTTTGCAAAATGTAAAACAAAGAGAAGCGTCCATGCATCTGCAGCGCTCCTGGTGTTGGCAAGGCGCCACTGCAACAACATCCAACCCTTTCTCTCTTTCTCCCTCTCCCGTCCCTCCCCTTTCTCCTCCTCAGTGATACCCGAGCGGGCGAACCAACCTGCATCCTCGCTTTCTTGTAAGCCAGTCTCCCCCAGCTGTTCCACTCTACCCCAACGAGCCTGCGCAATGGGCGCTCGTTAAGTGTTGGAAACCAATAACGCGTTTGTAGCCTACTGGAGAGAGAGACATCACTAAAAACACAGAGAGTCAGGATGAAGTACGAGAAGACGGAGTGTTTCCTCCGGTAAACAAGCGGAGAACGAGCCTGGAAATCACCGGAGGAGAGCGGAGGGGGGGATTTCGGGGATACAACCATGGCGACGGGAGGGGGAGGCGTGAAGCGGAGGAGGAAAGCGGGGCTCCCGGGATTGTGCTGGAAGACCTGCTACTTTCCCATTTTGTTCTGGGTCGTTTCTGTCTGCGGGGAGGAGAACACGTTGATTGTGGAGGTAGGTGGAGAGAGAAGAGGCGCAAAATGCAGACGCACCCCGACACCCAAACACAAACAACAGTGTGGAAAAGTCAGGGCCCCGTCCCTGTGTTTATTTTTAATTTTTTAATCTCCACTCTTTATCTTTTCCTGTCATTTACTCGCATGAATATCGACCCTTATTTCCTTCGCTTTATCACCTCCATCCTGTTTGAACACACGCATGAGGAGCAAAGTGATGCGCTCTTATGTTTTTTATATTCTCAGCCTGTTTCTTGCTTTCATCCTGCCACGAAAGTGATACCTACCGCTCCTGTGTGGAGGAGGGACAGGCACATAAAAGATTTACGAGTTAGTGAGCTGAATTAATTACAGCAGACGAGCAAGAGAGCAGCGCTGGATCCGCTTGGCTGAAGATCCTCGCTCCCTCTTTTGTTTTCAGACGCGCGCCACACGTTTCCAGCCACCTTTCAGTGAATATTCTCCCTACTATCAAGGTGGCTTAATGCCTCACCAGGCTCGACTGTTTCCGTTTGATGATTGGCATCAAGGCCCAAATGAAAGGGCTCTTGAATTGATGATAGTTTTTCTGGTTTGCTTTGGCAGCGGAAAAAGAGAGTCGGTCCAAGATGGTGAGGTGCTGCATGTGCAAAGTGTCAAACAGCCCCTTTGGAGGCGGCCTCAACACGCGCTGAACGGCAGATTTACAGGCTGTTAATTGGTCTCGTTTATGAGTTTTTAATCTTATGTCTCCTGTGCGCAATTGGACACGCACACAATGCTAAGGAAGGGTCAAAACGCTCCGGTGTGCGCGTGCAAATGATAGTGCGCTGCATCCCCGCTGACTGGAGGAGTCTCTGTAATGAGCTTTCAACCCACGTTGTCAATAAATAGCCATCAGCATGCAGCGAGCATTACAGTGAACCTGAATGAGCGCGCTGCTTTCATGTGTGCTGAACAAAGCATCTCCGGACCCCCACCTCCTCCACCTCCTCCTCCTCCTCTCCTCGCACTGACTCCAAATATAGCCTCCCTCCATAATTTATGGAAATAGCAGCGAGTTGGAGGAGAGAAGAAATGAGTAGAGATGGGAAGAGGTGCAGACACATGTTATTTTTTCTCTTTTCTTGAAGCTCTTCTGCTCATAACAGGCACTGAGCGCAGGTGTTGTGAGAAACTTCACTGTAGGATCCTTTCTTTGACACATAGAGTCATGTACTGTAATATAAAGAGCTCACTGTACTCTCTGCTCCCTGGGAGAGCAGATGAGCAGTGATTTTATTAAGTGATGTTTGTGTTGCTTGTGACACTTTCATTCAGACAAAGGGAGCGCCTGTGGCGGAGTGTAGCGTGGCTGCTTACAGCCGAGTATGTCACCCTGCTGTACAAAGGAAGCGATGTTTTCACTGAGCCTTGTTATGTTTTTTTTTCCCTCTGAGGAATTATAATCCTTCTAAAGCTGTTGTTGGTACATGTCATGCTCACGCTGTCACACAAACTCAATATTACAGTTGTCTCCATAATTCAAGGTTATATTGCAAAATGT